AGGAAATCTGGAAGACAGGTACCTGGCCAACTGACTAGAAGAGACCCATATTTGTGCCCATTCCAAGGAAAGGTGATCCAACAGAATGAAGATATTATCAAACAGTATCATTAATATCACACACAAGTAAATTTTTGCTGAAAATAACTCAAAAACTGTTGCTGCAGTATACTGAAAAGGAACTGCCAGAAATTCAAGCCAGATTCAGAAGAGGATGTGGAATGAGAGATATCATTGCTGATGTCAGACAGATCTTGGCTTAAAGCAGAGAATCCCAGAAAGATGTCTTCTTGCGTTTTATTAACTATGCAAAAACATTCCACTGTGTGTATCAAAACAAATTATGGATAACATTGTGAAGAATGGAAATTCCAGAGCACTTAATTGTACTCATGAGAAATCTGTCCATAGGCCAAGAGGCACTCATTGGAACAGAACAAGGGGATACTGCATGGCTTAAAATTAGGAAAGGTGTGTGTCAGGGTTGTATCCTTTACCATACTTACTCACTCTGTATTCTGGGCAAATAATCTAAGAAGCTGGACTATATGAAGAATGCAGCATTAGGATTGGAAGAAGACTCATTAACAACCTGAGGTATGTAGATGACACAACTTTGCTTGCTGAAAGCAAATAAGACTGGAAACACTTTCTGATAAAGTTCAAAGACTTACCCTTCATAATGGATTACACCTCAATATAAATAAAACAAAAATCCTCACAAATGGACCGATAAGAATTATCACATGGGCCAGCAATTTCATTCCTAGATATATACCCGAGAGACTTGAAAAGAGGGACCCAAACAAATATTTGTACACCAGAAGCTCTAGTGGCATAGTGGACAAGGCATTTGACTGCTAACCAGAAGACTGGTGGTTCAAACCCACCAGCCACTCCTTGGAAAGACTGGGCAATCTATTTCCATAGAGATAGCACCTCAGAAACCCAAGGAGGGGTCAGTATGAGTTGGAACCAACTCAACGGCAGTGAGTTTGGTTACGTCATGTTCATTGCAGCATTATTCACAACAGCCTCTCATTCACTGCAGTCGAGTCAATTCCAACTCGTAGCAACCCTCATAGGGTTTCCTAGGTTGTAAATCTTTACGGAAGTAGATTGCCCCATCTTCCTTCCATGGAGCAGCTGTTGGGTTTGAACCACTGACCTTCTGGTTAGCAGCCAAATGCCTTATCCACTACACTCCTAAATAAAAAGGGGTATATCCACACAATGGGATAATTCAGCCATAACGGGAAATGAAGTTCTGATATACACTATGGCATAAATGAATCTTGAAAGCATTATGCTAAGTGAAATGTCAGACAAAAAAAAAGGGTAAATATTGTATGATCCATTTAGATGAGTTATCTGTTGTTGTTGTTAAGTGCTGTCGTCTCCAACTCATAGTGATCCTATGCATACCAGAATGAAACACCGCCCGGTCCTGAGCCAGCTCCATGATTCTTGCTATACTTGAGCCCGTCGCCACTGCCACCGTGTCAATCCATCTCGTTGAGGGCCTTCCCCTCTTTTGTTGACCCTCCACCTCACCAAGCATAACATCCTTCTCCAGGGAATGGACCCTTCTGACAACATGACCAAAGTACATGAGATGAAGTCTGGGCTTTCTCACCTCCAAGGAGCATTCTGGCTGCACTTCCTCCGGGACAGAGCTGTTAGTTTCTTTATCAGTCCACAGTACTTTCAGCATTCTTTGCCAATACCATAGCTCAAAAGCATCAATTCTTCTTCAGTCTTCCTTATTCATTGTCTTTCACATGCATGTGAGGTGATTGAAAATACCATAGCTTGTGTCAGGCGCATCTTAATCCTCAAGGAGACATCTTTGCTCCTCAGCACTTAAAAGTTCCTTTGTGGCTGATTTGCCCAGTGCTGTACATCGTCTGATGTCCTGACTGCTGCTTCCATTGGCATCAATTGTAGAACCAAGCAATGTGAAGTCTTTGACAATTTCAATCTTTTCTCCATTTATGTAATGCTGCTTATAGGTCCAGTTATGAGGATTTTTGTTTTCTTTATATTGAGATGTAATCCATACTGCAGACTGTATTCTTCAGTCTTCATCAGTAAGTACTTCAAGTCATCCTCACTTTCAGAAAGCATGTGTCGTCAGCATATCACAGATTGTTAATGATTCTTCCTCCAATCCTGATGCCACATTCTTCTTCATACAGTCCAGCTTCTCGGATTATTTGCTCAGCATACAGATTAAATAAGTATGGTGAAATGATACAACCCTGACACACTCCCTTCTTGATTTTAAACCATGCAGTGTTCCCTTTTTCTGTTCCAACGACAGCCTCCTCATCTATGTACAGGTTCATCATGAGTACAATTAAGTGTTCAGGAATTCCCATTATTCTCAGCATTATCAACAATTTGTTATGATGCACACAATCAAATGCTTTTGCATAGTCAATAAAACACACAAGTAAACATCTTTCTGGTATTCTTTGCTTTGAGCCAAGATCCATTTGACATCAGCAATGATATCCCTCATTCCATGTCCTCTTCTGAATCCAGCTTGCATTTCTGGAAGTTCTCTGTCAATATACTGCTGCAACGGTTTTTTAATTATATAAGTAAGATTTCAGTTGCATCCAATATTAATGATATTGTTCAATAATTTCCACATTCTGTGGGATCACCTTTCTTTGGAATGGGTACAAATATGGATCTCTTCCAGTCAGTTGGCCAGATAGCTGTCTTCCAAATCTCTTGGCATAGCCCAGTGAGTGCCTCCAGCGGGGCATCCATTTGTTGAAACATCTCAGTGGGTATTCTGTCAATTCCTGGAGCCTTGTTCTCCGCCAATTCTTTCAATGCAGCTTCGACTTCTTCCTTCAATACCATTGGTTCTTGAACATATGCCACCTCCTGAAATGGATGAAAATCGACCAGTTCTTTTTGGTACAGTGACTCTGTATTCCCTCCATCTTTTTTTGATACTTCCTGCATCATTCAATATTTTGTGCATAGAATCTTTCAATATTGCAACTCGAGGCTTAAATTTTTTCCTCAGTTCTTTTAGCTTGACAAATGCTGAGTGTGTTTTTCCCTTTTGGTTTTCTAATTCTAGGTCTTTGCACATTTGCAAATGCATAGAGACCAAAGTTTATTAGCGGTTATCAGGGGTAGGTGAGAGGGGTAAAAGATAAATTATTGCTTAAGGAGTTCCGAGTTTCTGTTAATGGTGATTAAAAAAAAATTGGAAACAGTGGTAAAGTTTGCACACACGGTGAATATAAAGTCACTGAATTGTATGCATAATATGGTTGAAAAGGCAAATGTTTTATTACATATATTTTACCACATACACAACTGTCAACCACTTGGAAGAGGATCTATGTAAGAGATCCTGGATAGAGAGGGAGAACAATGTGGAACAAAACTCAAAATCATATAGGGAAAAAAAAAAAGAGGGGACCAGGTTTGCTGGTCTGATAGAGCCTGGTGGAACCACTGAGACTACAGCCCCTAGCTGCCATTCATGTCTGGAATTGAACCCACACCTGTGGCTTCCAGCCAAACAAAAGACAGGCATATGAGTTGAACATGTACCTAAGGTAGATACACTCCTTGGAGAGAACAATCATGGGAGAAAGAAGAGCTCTTTATGCCCAGGGAGACAGGTCAGGGGGCAGGAGTGCATGGACGGATGGACACAGGAGGAAGTAGGAGGGAGCTGCTGCATTGGGGTAAATTGTAGTCAATTTCATGAGACAAGGTATGTGTGAACTGCTGTATGGAAAGTCAATTTGCTCTGGAAACTTTCACCCAAATTACACACACACACACACACACAAAAGTACACTAATGATCATAGCAACATTACTTAAAATAGCTAAAAACTGAAAACCCAAATGTCCATCAACTGGAGAATGGTTAAATAAAAGGTTAAATAATAATAATAAAAGGTTAAATTGATAGTATATCCTTACTACTTAGCAATACAAAGGAAGAAACTATTGATACATGCTGTTGTTGTTAGGTGCCACTGAGTTGATTTCCTTTTCATAGTGATGCCGTGTGACAGAGTATAACTGCCCCATTGACTTTTCTAGGCGGTAATCTTTCCAGGAGCAGAACCAAGTCTTTCTCCCACAGAGTGGCTGGGTGGATTTGAACCTCCAATCTATCCGTTGCAGGCTTCCTTCCTGGCACATGCTATAGCATGACTAACCTCAAAAACATTATGCTGAAAAAAAAACAGGAGCAAAAGACTATTATTATATGACTCCATTCAAATGCAATGTCCAGAAAATAAATTTATAGAGTCAGAAAGTAGACTGCTGGTTGCCTGGGGCTGAAGTTGGGAATGGGGATTGACTGCAAGCAGGCAGGTGGGAACTTTTTTCTGTTGAAGGAAATACTTTAAAACTGGCTGGTAGTGATGGCAGCACAACTCTATAAATCATCAAATTGTTAAAAATAATTAATAGTTTGAAGCGATGCTATAGCAGAAAGACAGTCTCCGTTTTCAGGGCTACAAAATGGGGATAATGATGCTGACCCTGTTGTGAGAGTCTGAGGTGAGACTGTGTGTGTAGTTGAGTGCATAGAGCCTGGGGAGTAGGCGCCCCAAAGACTAAGGTGTGTGAGGAAGAGGAGATCGCAGCCCCAAATTGGTAAAGGCACAGTTTAAAGCTTCCGGAGTAAGCTGTACCTGGGATGATTATAAAATGCCATCAGCATGTGAGCTATAAACCTATCCCCAGGCCCTGGGGACGCTGACCCCGCCACTTTTTGTAAACTGGAAAGCGCTTTCATTAAATAAAACCATGAAGTCCAAGAAACACCAGGTGCAGGGTAAACCCAGTGCCCTGAGAACCCACCCTAACCAAAACTGTCTGGACCCGTGCGAACCCAACTTCGCGTCCTGGACAGGAGCCCAAGAGCTGGAGGTAAGCTCAAAACGTAGCAGCGGCTGTGGCCTCCAGGAGGCGCCCAAGCACAGTGCTCAGCCCCGCCCCGCCCCGTCACGTGGCCGCGGCGTCCCTTCACACCCGGAAGCAGCGGCGGGAGGGAGCCGGCAGGGATGAGCGGAGAACCCGAGCCGATATCCTTAGCGCCCCCTCCCGGGGAGGTCGAACCGGGCAGTGGGGTCCGCATCGTGGTGGAATACTGGTGAGTGTTCCTAGCTGGTGGGAGACTCGGGTCTTATGAGGCAGATCCTTGGGAGGCCTTTCCCCCGAAATCCCAGCCGACCCTCAGATCCCTTCTCCCCAGTGAACCCTGCGGCTTCGAGGCGACCTACCTGGAGCTGGCGAGTGCTGTGAAGGAGCAGTACCCTGGCATCGAGATCGAGTCGCGCTTGGGGGGTACAGGTGAGGCCTGCTGAGTCAGGCTGTGTTCTGAATCTCAGCTTTACTGCCTTCTAGCTCTGACATTGGCTGTTTCATATAAAATGTCCAGCAGAGTGTCTGACACATAGTAACATGCCTAACCAACGTTGAGTCCCCTTCAGTAGGTGAAGGGTCACAGATGAAGGCTGTAGGGAAAAAAACCATGAGACTGAAAGAAGTTTAAGTTTGGAGTGGAGAGATGAAGCTAAATTTAAGGAGGGGCACAGGTGAGAGCTCCCTTAGGTCCCTTTGGTTTAGCCCAGGGTTGGGTAATGGCTTAAACAAACAAAAATACCAAATTCACTGCCGTTGAGTTGATTCTGACTCATAGCGACCTCTTTTGGGTTTCCGAGGTGGTAAATCATTGCGGAAGTGGCTGGAGGGTTTGAACCAACCTTCTGATTAGTCAAATGCCTTAGGCACTGCCCCTCCAGAGAGCTACAAGAGTCTTTAATGGGGCTGAGGGACGGGAAGCAGCCATGTGTGAAGTCTGAGGGATTGGAGGGCCCCCCTCCTGACCCCTGCCTTCAGCATACCATTCACTTGTCCATTTATTTAATACCAGGGGCTTTTGAGATCGAGATCAATGGACAGCTGGTGTTTTCCAAGCTTGAGAATGGGGGCTTTCCTTATGAGAAGGATGTGAGTATTTGTAGTCTGGGGAGGACCCTGGGATCACCCTGCCCCTACATTGTATCACCCCCTTCCACATCTCTGCTTTCTAGCTCATTGAGGCCATCCGAAGAGCCAGTAAGGGAGAACCTCTAGAAAAGATCACCAACAGCCGGCCGCCCTGTGTCATCCTGTGACCACACGCCATCCTGGGTACCCGCTGTTCTAGGGCCCAAGTCTTGGTCTCCCCTTTCGTCCCGACTGGGGCTCCCCCTCTGCCTTTTTCCCCCTCACTGAGCTCTTGGTAGCTAAAACACCCTGGCCTCTACTTTGCACCTTGGAGGTACAAGCGGGGAATAGAAGCTTCTGTGGTCTTGGGGATAAGAAAGAGACCCTCCCAACGGACATTTCCACAGACACCCTTTACCTACCCCCTTCTCAGGATCAGTGTGCCCACACAGCCCAGTCCCCACCCAAGTTGCCACTGTAGTTCTAATTTATTCTTCAGCCCAGGCAGTGTCAGCTGCTGGCAATAAAGTGGTACTACAAACACTTGTGCCAACGAGTGTGTGTTTTCATGTCTAGCCCAGGAGGGTGGAGGGCAACCTTTGTACCATCTGGCTGTGCTGGATGGATGATGGGTGGGCTTTTCTGTATAGTTCCTTCTGTTTAAGGAGCTCCTCTCTTACAGCCAAAGCAAGGATGGCAAGGAAGATGAGTCACACAGTAGACCCTGCCCCTTCTGTCCTCCACATCATCCTCTTACCCAGAGAGTGAATGTGACCACATTTCAGTGGGTGGCTTTAGGAATTAGTATATTCTAAACAAGAGTGATTTGGCTATCAAAGGGCTCTCAGAGTCCCCAACTCCCCAGGTCACTGCCCTCCAAGAAAGCCAGGGAATTTGAATTCAGGCTCCTTAGTCAAGCTTTCTGAATAAGCATGCCACCTCCTTCCCCAGGAAAAGATGAATGAGCTGAGTGTAAGTTAGGAGACTAGCAGTTAGGGACAGCACAGAGCCATTTCCAGACACAGGCTGGGGCTCGATTGTTTTCCAAAATATATTTGCAAACGGAGAAGGTGGGTGTGGAGAGGGGGGACATCCCTTCCTTCAGCCCCCCAGGACCTCCTTCCCCTGGGTCCTTATTTCATATTTAAAAAAACAAAATATAAGTAAAAACAAAACAAACAAGCACTCTGTACACAGTTGCTGCCCTTTTTTCCAGGGGAGCATAGCTGGGTCTCAGGGACATGAGCCCTGAAAGAGTCACTCTTGTTCTTAGAAACTCCCTTTCCTCATCTGCTTGGGGTCTCTTCCCCTCTAGGCCTAGCTTCCAAAGTCCTTCCAGACCAGGGACCTGGAAGAGGGCCAGGCTGGACTGCTGGCTTAGGTGAGACTGGCTGTGGCATCCATTGCCCCCTAGGGTTTGGTGGAGCAGGGTTCCAAAAGAAAAAAAAAATCAAGACTCCTCAGTGCTCCCCAATCTTCCAGCCGTGCTAGGCCCCTCTCAGCACGAATATGGGCAGGAAGGTTCCGAAGGATTGGTCCTTAGCATAGCAAGCTCCTCTGGACACGGTCAGAGGGCCGTCTTCCACCTCATCCTGATGTGGGCGGGAAGACAGGCCGTCCCCACTCCCTGAGGGTACAGCAGGGCCTCAGCCGACTTGGCCTTCTGGCTCACACTGGCACATCCAGGCCCAGGTACTCGGGGTTCTCTGCTGTAGGAGTCCCTTCAAAGGTGCTGGGTGGAGAGCCTTGCTCAGATGGTTCCTGATCCCAGTAATAGAGGTTGTCAAAGGCTGGGCTGAAGGCAGGGGGAGGATGGGATGGAGGGGCAGCCCCGCCTCGGGGTGCCAAATACTCAGGGTTCTCCACGGCACTCCCAAAGGCAAAAACGTCTTTGACAACCCCATTCTTTCCAGGGGAGAGAGTCTTGGGAGAGAGAGTCTTGGGTCTTTCCAGAGTGGTACCAGCAGGGCGAGAAGGTGGCAGAGGGACCTCTAGGGGTGAGGGAGGCTGAGGCCGAACCTCTGGCTGGTTCACGTATTCTGAAAAGGCAAAAGAAGGTGCACTGTTAGGGGAAAGAACCCAGGTGTCCCTGCCACTACCACTGCCCCCACAGTGGACCCTGGGCTGAGGTGCGGAAGACCCAACTCCCCCACCTCCCCATCTCTCAGCTTGGACCTGGGCTCCATACCAGGCTGAGGGCTGCAGGTCAGGGGGGCGACATAGCCATCAGTTTCAGATGGGAGAGTTACTGTGGGGTCCTCACTGTACCGCTGTAGAGGGTTCGGGTCGTGTTGGGGGAGGTTCTGCAGCCCCTTGGCTGCCCCTATTACCAGGTCACCATCAAACACATCGGAGCCAGCCCCTTCCGAGGGTGCCAGTGGTGACCTGGGGGGCTCCTCCTCGGAGGGCTCCAGCCCCAGGGTCAGCTCACCACCGCCACTCTGAAGACAAGAGAGAGTCTTGATAGGAGTCATTCATAGATCTGGGATGGAGATGCTAAGGGAGGTGACAGGGTACCAGGAGGCTTTGGGTTGTAACAGTCATCATGAAGAGAATGAGGTCACAGGGTAGCAACAGGGGTTAGAAGGCAGTAGGAATCCTTAGGGGAAATGGGGTATCCATGAGAGATGACTGGGGGACATCGGAGAAAGGGGCCTGAGTCCTTGGGGGATGGTGACCAAACACCCACCACTGTGTGGCTGAGGGCACTGACCCTGGTGGATGAGCTGCGGTGCCTGCGGTGGGCTGTGCTCCCAGTGCCTGGGCCAGGGTCTGGGCAGAAGAAGCCCTGCTGGGGCACCAGGTATTCCTCTGCATCCACCAGGTCCCCCATGTCGTCATCTTCCAGCAGTGAGCGGTAGAAGGTGCTGTCCAAGGGGCCGGCTGGGCCCATATCCTCATTCTGGGGAGGAAGGAAAGAGAGGGTGGTGGTATCTGTTCAGTGTCCCGAAGAAGGATCAGGGAGGTGTGGAGAGTCCGGCAAGGGAAGGGCTTGGAGGCCTAGAACCCAGGAGTCATCTGCTTTTCCCACCCTTTTGGGGGAGGGTGCTCTGTGTTGCAGGCAAGGATGGGATAGAAGGCCCAGTACCTGGATAACTACAAAGCGCTGGGGGTCCCTGGCCATGCGGGAGAATTCAGCCACCAACTCCCGGAACCGTGGCCGACACTCAGAGTCAATCATCCAACCTGGGACAGGAGGAAGTTCAGTATCCCAGTCCTGCACCAGCCTGTGTGCTGTCCCTTCTCCACCTCCCCCTTAAGTCTGGTCAGGACAGCCCAGCTACTAGAAGAGAGCCTGAGTCTGGGGTCTGGGGCCAGAACCTTCCTTTATTTATTTTGCATATACATTTTTCTCTAGCTGGTCCTCTAGGGCTTCTGAGGACTTTTACTGTGAAAGGGAGACTGGAAGCTTTTGAAAACAATTGCTGTGAAGGTGATGATTCCCACTCATGGAGACCCTGTGTGTGTCCTAGTAGAACTGTGCTCCATAAGGTTTTCAATGGCTGATTCTTCAAAAGCTGATCACCAGGCCTTTCTTCCAAGGCACCCCTGAGTTGACTGGAACCTCCAACCTTTTGGTTAGCAGCATGAACTATTTGTACCACCAGGGACTCCAGATCCTTCTGAGGCTCCTTTAAATATACCAGCAGCTCGGTATACACACACACACACACACACATCCACATCCACTTCTTGGCTCTCTCCCCCCATTCCTCTTGTGAGCCCTCCACCCAGGACCTCCCATTCTCTCCATGCAGCCAGCATAGCCCAGGCACGCACATTTGACCATGATCATGTAGACATCTATAGTGCAGATGGGGGGCTGGGGTAGCCGTTCCCCCTTCTCCAGCAGGTCAGGGATCTCCCGCGCTGGGATCCCATCGTAAGGTTTGGCCCCAAAAGTCATCAGCTCCCACACCGTCACACCTGAGGCAGAGAGAGGAGGGGTTGGTGGGGCAGAGGGAGCTTCAGTGGACTGAGCCCAAGGCTTTGCCAAGAGGCCTGGCCCCATGGGAAGGGAGGGTGTAAGGCTAAGGGGCAGGATCTACCCAGTCTCCCCCCAATTCCCGAGATGTACACAGACTTAGGCAGGGGGTGGGGGCACAAGTAGAGAATTGTGCTTGGCTTCAAGCAGGGCAGCCTCTTCCTTTCCCCCCAGTTCCAGCTCTCCTCCTTCCCCCCGCAATGCCTCTAAGGCCATGGTTCCTTGTCTACCCCTTGCCACACACCGTAGCTCCACACATCACTCTGGTGGGTGAACCGTCTGCGGAGAATGGACTCCAATGCCATCCACTTGATAGGCACCTGGGGGAATAAAGGAAGCCCTGAACTGGATGTGGTGCAAGGTGGCCATTCTCAGCATCCTCCCAGGGGCCAGACCCTGGTCCACTCTGCTTCATCCTGCTCCCTCCTCTAACCTTGCCCCCATCCGCATGGTACTCAGTCTCATCGATGTCCAGCAGCCGTGCCAGCCCGAAGTCTGTAATCTTAACATGGTTGGGGCTCTTAACCAACACGTTCCGGGCAGCCAAGTCCCTGTGCACGAGCCGCACGTCCTCCAGGTAGCTCATACCCTAGGAGCACAGGCATTGCTACGGATGTTCTGGTAGTACCACACCCTGGCCACACTCTCCCAGGGCAACTCCCCATCCTAGCCCTCCCTGTATGGAGACAGAGGCTTGCTCCCCAGGGTACCTGCCAAGCCCAGGCTCCTGAAGTGCATACCTTGGCAATCTGTACACACCAGTTCAGCAGGTCCTGGGAGCCCAGGCGTCCACGGTGTTCACGGACATGGTCTAGGAGGCAGCCATAGGGCATGAGCTGTGTCACCAGCTGCACCGTGGATGTCAGGCAGATGCCCAGGAGGCGGGATACATATGGGGAGCCCACACCAGCCATCACGTATGCCTCCTGGGGATGAGGGTACACATTAAGATGGTATGGAAGACCATAAAGTCAAACCACCACAAACCATATGAGGGGTAAGGGCATGACTTGGGACATTCACCCCATCCCACTCCATCCATCTCAAACCAGAGCCATGGTTCACAGCCTGGGAAGGGTTTAAGAGGCAAGGTTTGGGGTAATCAATCACAAAGTGTCTCGCCAAACCCCAGAGCCCACATGAGCTGACAATGAATGTCCCAGCACTCCTGGCTGAAGAGGGTGGAGGGGCTTACGTCCAAGATTTCTTTGTTGGCTTTAGGGGATGTATTTTCCCTCAACACTTTGATGGCCACTGGGATTTTCACATTCTCACCATCGGGGATCCAGATGCCCTGGGCAGAAAGAGAAGGATGTGAGTGAGCCTCGAGTGCCAGGCAGGTGCAATCTGCGGTCCTGGGGTCATTGCTCAGAACGCCCAAACCACCTAAGAACAACCTCACTATTGGGCCCTACTCCCTTTCCCCCTGTTCCTACTTCTGTATCTGCCCCCTCTCAAACAGCACGGTCATCGGATTTAGGCAGTAGCCTCTATCCTTAACTAAATACCTTGGCCTCATCCCTCCCCTTGCCCCACCTTCTGGGGCCACAGACTGTAAGTCAGGTCCCGCCCCCCTCTGACCTTGTAGACGGTGCCGAAAGCTCCAGATCCGAGCACCTTCACCTTCCTCAGCTCCGTCTCTTTCAGGATCCGCATCTGAGCCTGGTTGGGCACCGCTCCACTGGGCGTCAGAGGCTCCACCAGCTGGGGTGAGGGGGTGGGGGGTCAATGCTGGGCTGGGCGGCAGCCCCAGAGGTCGGCTGGGCGGCCCTTGCTTGCCTCACCTCCGTTTCCTGCAGCAGCCTCCGCATCGTGTACTTCCGGATCTTCTGCCGCCGCCGCTTGATAACGACGCCCAGGAACAACCCCACGACCACGAAGAGCAGGGCGCCCACCACAGTGGTGATGATGGACGTCACGTGGCTGGGGGCGGGAACCAGGGTCAGGGATTGATTGGGGGGACCAGTCTGGGGCAGGAGGGATGAAGGGGCCCCCTGGAGGGATATAAGGGTCACTGGCCTTGGGAAAGGGAAGTCAGAAGAGTTACTTATGCGCTCTGACCCTCTCTCCCTACTCTAAAACCTATCTTCTCATTGCCTCCAGAATAAAGCCCAAACTCCTGGCACTCAAAGCCCTCGCCACCCACACCTCCAGAGTCTCTGTACTCTTGGCTGTGGCTGTAGCCCGGGGTTCTCAAACTTCATGACATGAAAATCACCAGGGGGCTTGTTAATGAGATTCTGGAGTCCCACCTCCAGGGGCTCTGATTGCTGTAATGGGTTGGGCCCAGGAATGGCTGTGTACCCAGTGATTCTAATCTTCTAGCCAAACTTTTCACCCATAGGCCATGATTATCCACACCTCCCAGCCTTTGCACTTGCTATCCTTGTGCCTGGAACACTGTTTCTCAGCTTTCAAGACTCTGCTTATCACACATGGATGTCCGGGGTGTTGACCCAGCAACCGTCTCATCTTTGTTTCCCCCTTGCTTAGCATAGGGTACGCCTGGCACATAGCAAACCTGGTGACTGCTCGTTTCATGAACAAATGATTGCCTAGGATATACTCTAACCTGGTTTTCTCCCCACAGCCCTTCTCAAGGCTCCATTCTGCGCAGATAATCAGATCCAAGTCCAAGGCTAGCTGGCAGGGCCCAAGCTCTCCAGATCTGGCCCTGACCTGACTCCGCTGTCACTTCCTTCTCTCTGTGTAAGCACACTAGATTTTCATGACCCCTCTTAATACCTTCCCTCCACCTGGCTAGTTTCCTACTGGAATATAAATCTCTCCTCTTCAAAGGTGTGGCTCACAGGGCGCCTCCTCCCTGAAGCCTCCCGCCATCCTGCTAACAATTCATGGCTCCCTGCTCAGTGCTGCAGTGGCATTCTCCTCTCAGTCTGCCTTGAATTCTAAGGAGTTGAATGAACTTTGCCTGTGGCCCTCAAGAGACGTGGAGCTTTCTTGAGAGTGGGAAGTAATGAGCATCTTAGTGATTTCTTCCTATGCCCCACCCCCTCCCAACATACTGAGCAGGGCTTTGGTCCACTTGGTGAAGGGAATTGAAAAGAGCATCGAGAGTGGAAGAGATGGCTGGGAGGGGACAGGTGTCAGATCAGGAGAAGCCCTTCCCGCGGTAGGGGCCAGCAGGGGAGTGAGGGGGAGCACGGGGCAGATCCTGGGAACCAGGCCCACCTGGCTCTCTGCTCAGCGGGGCAGCCCTTCTCGTCCAGGTCCACACAGCTGCAGGAGAGAGTCCTGTCAGTAACTCTGGGGACACCCTCCTGGGTTCATTCCAGCTTCACAACCACGGAGGTAGGTGGGGCAGTGTTATTATCCCCATTTGACAAAAGCAGCACCTGAGCTGTAGGTCACCATCCCACAACCCGCATCCCTATGGTGGGGAGGAAGAGGAAGACACCCAGAAGAGCATCAAATTTGAAAGCTCAACTATTCCCTGTGTAAGAGAGTCCCAGGGTAAGATGACAGCTTCTCCAGGACAGTGTGGCAATATCCATCAAGTGAAATAATACCTACAACCCAGCAGTTCTATCTCTCAACATATACCCTAAAAATGCCAGCACCTGCACAATGGGGGGCATATACAAGGAAGCTCATGGAGCTCTGCTGCAGTAGATTATATGGAAAAACAAAAGGAATCAAGTTCACTCAAATAAGGACGTGGTTAAATAAATTACACTACATCCATGCTAGGGATTGAGTAGTTAAGAGAAAGGAGGGAGATCTTGTTGTGTTGTTGTTATGTGCCGTCAAGTCGGACCTGACTCATAGCAACCCCTCCTTGGGTTTCCGAGGCAGTATCACTACGGAAATAGATTGCCCCATCTTCCTTCCGAGGAGTGGCTGGTGGGTTTGAACTGCCAGCCTTCTGGTTAGCAGTCAAGTGCCTTAGGCACTATGCTACCAGAGCTCTTAGGAGGTAGATCTAGGAACTCACAAGGAAGGAACTCTAAGAATAACCAAGGGGGGGGGGGGGAAGCAATGTGCAGAAAAATAAATGGACTATGATCCCATTTACATTAAAAAATAAACTGGTTAGATATAAAAGTGAATCATATGAAATTGCTATTTTTTGACCATTTTGACCCATAGACTCAGCAATTTTCTATAACTCAACCCAATATAAATGTAATATGTACAAATGCATAGAAAAAGGGAGTCTGGGGGTTCTCTCCGCTGGAGGGGCAGAAGGGAGGGTGGGAGAGTAGAGCAAACAAGCACATTTGCTTTGTAACGTTTTATTTTCACAGTCCTGGAAATGTTTGTAAAGGGATGTAATGATGTATTTCACATGTAATGTTACATGGTTTTGTAATATGTTAAAGCTTGTAAGGGCATGTGTTAATTTGTGATCAGGAAAAAATATTTAAGAGAAATTAAGAGTCACAAGATAAGCAAAAGCAGAGCTGTCCCCCTTTTAAAATAAAAGCCTCAGAGAAGCTCCTGATACCAACCCTCCCCCCACTTCTGCAGAAAAGGCCCACGGACTCACGAGTGAGTGCAGTTGATGGGGCATGGCTGGCATATGCCCTCTTCATCCGGGAACTTCCAGATGGGCATGAATGAGAGGTCAGGTTTCACACCACTGGGGCAATGAGCCACACAGAAGGGACCGTCCTTGTAGTGGGCGCAGGCCATACACTGGTCAGCCTCCTGGGTTGGGGGGAAGGATCTGTGGCTGACTCTGACACCTCCCGGGTAGCAGGATCCCCTTAGGGCTTCTCATGGCCACTTAGCAGTATGTTTCACCCTCCTCCCGGGACAGACCCAGACCCACTGTGTATCTACCACTCCTGCTAACCACCAGTCTCCATGGCCTCTCCTCAGCTGCCCTCCTTCAAAGCCTGGATCACAGGCAGAAGGTTTTCAGAAGCAGAATTGGAGGCCCAAAGAGGGGAATGCAGTACTTAAGGTGTGACAGTGAGGAATAGCAATAACTAATCTTTAGAGAGTCTTTCCAGTGTTGACACTGGGCCAACCCCTATTTTATTCAGTTCTTACCACAACCAAATGATAATATGAATTGTAATATTCATTCTACAGATGTGAAGACGGAGGTTGGAAGTAGGGGCTAGATTTGAGCCCAGGTGGTCTGCTGCCTGAGCCCACAGGTCTAACCACCCAACACATGAGCACAGCCAAGGCCAAGAACCAGGCCTTCAGTGGTTCCTTTCACAGTCTAAAGTGCTCCAGGGTCCAGCTTCCCTTTCCTCCATCCTCCTGCTTTCCAAATCTGAGATGGGCGTCTTCTCCAAGATGTTACCAGACTGAGAACACCCCACACCTTCTCCCCGACCTGCCATGTGCCTGGCAATCCCATTACCCCTGTGCCTGCCCATCTTGCTTCCCTCAACCTGGCCCTGGGGCCACCGGTGCCTCACCAATCCAAAGCAAGTTTCTGAGCCATTCTGGGGCTGACACTCGGGGTGGCACGGCAGACAGTGTCTGTCCTTCACATACTCCCGGGGAAGCCTGAAAGAGGTAACAGGTGTGAGAGGTCTGGGAAGAGCCCCAGTGCACCCCTCCAGCCACCCCCGCTTCCGCCCCACATACCCCTGCAGTACTCGGCATTCCTCCACGCACTCCTGGCCCCGAAGGTACTGGCTGCAGTTGACACACTGGGTGGGCCCGGGACCCCAGCAGTGCCCATGGGCACACAGCGAATGGCAGGCCAGGTTCTTGCCCACTGCAGTGAGGAGGGAGGGCCCGCAGGGGGCACTTAAGGAAGGTGCTAGGGCTCCGTGAACCAGGGAGGGGATTATGGGCATGACTCTGGGCTGCAGAGGTGGGGACAGGGATAAGAAGAGTTCTGAGGTTTCAGGAAGGGAAGGGAGGGATGCCAAGGCAGTGTGGCAGGCCCCAGCTAGAAGCCATGCCTAAAGGGCAAGCCAGCCAGAGCTGAAGCAAGAATGGTGCACCAGGGATGGGCAGTCTGCATAAGTCCCAGAAAGCTGCTGCCAGGCCCCGTGGGCATGCTTGAGTGCCGGCAGACTGGGAGCGTGCGGTGCTGGGCTCCCTGTCTTACCGCACTCATCCTCTGGCCGGTTGGCACTGTGCAGCAGGGCCTGGTGAGGGTTCCGGAAGAGCTGGTCCCAGGGCACCGTGTGCACGAAGCAGAGATGAGCATTGTGGTAGACAAGGGCCAGCCCACTGCTCAGCTCTCGCAGTGAGCGCAGCCCCAGCCAGCTGATGCTCAGCCCTTGCAGGGTCAGTGAGTAGGCACCGCTGTAGGAGGAGGGATACCTGACTGTAGGGTGACCACCCTACAGCTTCCCCTTCCTGGCTGGCAGGGGCTGCCCCCACCTTCCTCTTACCCCCACCACACTACACAAACTCCCATGGAAAGGTGCCACTGGGGAGCAGGCAGTCCCACCCGTGCTCACAGTTTCTCATGGGCTTCTGGGAAAAGCCCCTCCCCTGTAGCCCCTCTCTTCCCCAGTGCTCACTCGTGCAAAACTCGTCCCCGAATGACTCGCAGATTCTGGAAGACACTGAGGTCAGGCAGGTTGTCTGGCCATGCGGAAATGTACAGGTAACCTGCAGGCACAGGTGAGGCTGAGTATGTGGGGGGCAGGTTGAGGACCCCCAGGCCCACCCCAGGGATAGCCTGAGAGGCAGGACACAGAGGCAGGGCTCACCTGTGAGCTCTTCCAGCATCTCAAACACTCTGAGCTGCTCAGGCTGTAGGGGGGCAATGTTGGAGGCTGGGTCCCTAAAAGGAAGAGTAGGAGTCAGCAGGGCTGGGGGGGAGTGGGCATGACCCCCAGAACTGCCCTGCTGCCTTGCCACCATTAATGCCTTCCCGTAAACCCTCTGCACATCAAGCCCGACTGTTCCCATTCTGAGCTTCAAAGCCCAGGCTCTGGTTTGGCAGGATGTATCAAAACAATATTTATATCCTTTGATCTAGAAATCCCTCTTCTAGGAACGTGGCCTAGAGAGTCATTGGCCTCTGTTCCCAGAGGCACGTCCAAGGCAGAACTGTTTGTAACAGCGAAAACTGAAAATGATCTAAACACGCATCAGTAAATAAGGGAGCCATTAACTAAACCCTGATCTGTCCAAACTAGAATAAAAACAAGCATTTAAAAGTGCTTAGTATGTGCCAACCACTGTTCTAAGAGCTTTACAAATATTAACTCATTCGATCTTTATGAGTTTATAACCTTTTATGAAGTTGGGACTATGATTGCCCCCATTTTACAGAGGAGGAAACTGAGGCACCGTGAGGGGAGTGAGCTAGGTTTCAAAGCCAGGCAGTCTGGCTCCTAAGCATGGGCCCTTAGCTGCTGCTATTTGTCGCCACCTGCTCCATAGCTGTTGAAAGGAGGAGGCAGCTGGACACACACTGTCATGACCAGCTCATCAAGCAAGATACCAACCATACTCAGGATCCAATTCACAGAAATCACCCCCCAAAAAACGTTACAGCAACCTGTGTGTCTCTGTATGCAACCATGCTCTAGAAGGACACACAGACTGTTAACAGAAGTGTCCTCTGGGGCGGGGGACAGAGGGGAAGGACTTGGTGAAGGGGAGTTTTCTTTTTTTAATCTAAGTATAATTTACTACAATAAAATGCAAATGTTTAGTTTATAATGTAATGAGTTTTGGCAAATGGATTCACCCATATACCCACTGCCCCAATGGATGCAGAAAACATTTCCATCACCCCAGAAATGTTCCTTAGTCCCTTTCCAGTTCCCTCATCCTTGGGCAACCACTGTTCTGCTTTCTATCAGCCTGGAGTGGCTTTGCCTCTTTTAGCAACCTCACAGATATGGAGTCATTGCCTCTGGCTTCTTTCGCTCAACATGTCTTTGAGGTTCATCCATGTTGTACCAGTAGTTCAGTATTCTGCTTGCTGAGTAGAATTTCATTGTATGGCTCTACCACCATTTGTTTATTTATTCACTTGCTGATGGACATCTGGCTTGGTTCCAGTTTTGAGCTATTATGAATAAAGCTGCTATGAACTCATGGGGAATTTTAGTTTACCTGGATGGTTTAACTTCTACAAGTAAATGTTCATGGATGACACATCACTTACAAAAATAAGCTTCCCCAGGTTCCAGCACCCTCCAGTCCCCACCTGGCTCCTTTGCTTTGCGGCCTCCCACCATTCCCCAGCTCTGTGTCTGCCTTAGGCCACTGTACCTACCCTTATCCCCAGCAGTCCTTACCCCTCAAAACTTTCAGGCAGAAATGCCAGGCTCCCAAAGATCTTCTTGCAGCCAGCAAACTCCTGGATATTGGCACTGGTGACCGCCCTCACCTCCCGCAAGTGTTCCCTGCCCAGGCCATAGCACACTGTGGGGAAGGGGAGCATGGTGAAGGGACCATCTCAGGCCCCACACTGGGACTAATCACATGGGGCATCAGAAATGCAAACTCCTGGGTGCTCTTCACAGCCCCTCCTGGGACCCCAGGCTCCCTCCACACAGCGGCGGGAGATGTAGGGAGTTTCTATAACTGACCTGGGGAAGGCCAGAGGCAGAGGCAGTGGGAGAAAAGGACTGTGTCCCAAAAGGGTGCAAGGAAGGGTGGGGCAGAGTGGGCTGGGTGTGCAGAGGGATAAGAACTGCAGCCTGACCCAGGGGGTGGATAGTAGGTACCTCGAGCACAGGGCTTGCTGCATTTCTCACACTGCTGGGTCCCGTCCTCAGCAGTTACCTCTTGGTTGTTCAGCGGACAGACCAGGGTGCAGGACCCCACATCCGTAGACAGGTAGTTGTCTGAGGAGATGAGGGAAGGTTTGTGCCCTGGCATTCCACACCCCACCACGGGTGGTGTCATCATGCCCAGGTATAATAAGAATAAGATCGAAATAATCAAATGTTCTTATTCCATGCCAGATACTGGTCCAAGCACTTGACATACATTCACTCCTTGTAACAACCCTAGGTGATAAGCACTGCTAGAATTCCACTTTACAGAAAGGGAAACCAAAGCAGAGTTAAGGAAGTCATTCAAGGTCATAGTTGTAGTAAGCAGAAGAGCCAGGATTCGAACCCAGACAATCTGACTCTCTTAACTACCATGGGGAGGCTACAGCCAGAAACTAAGGGCCCCCCCATCTCCCATGAGAGGAGGAAACAGGCCGTTCTCTAGGTCCCAGCCCAGTCCCAGAGGGCCCAGGTACTCACAGGGACAGGTGACCACACAGCTGGCGCCAAAGGTGTAACGTCCCTCAGGGTTGAGCACAGACTCGAAGGTGTCCGTGTTGTAGATGACCAAGGGTGGGCAGTGCAGCTCGCAGATGCCACTGTGGTTGAAGTGGAGGCAGGCCTGGGAGGGCAGGCAACTCGTGGTCACTGGGCTGTTGTTGTTCCCTGGTGTGCCAGGCAGGGGCTATAGGGCAGTACCAGGTGGGGTGCCCCACCCAAGGACTTCCTGGGGAGATAGGGCCCAGGGATATGCACAGAGTACAGAGGAACATACCAGGCAGTCAGAGTGCTTGGGGCCCGTGCAGCCAGCAGCACATTGCTCGTGGCAGCAGTCGGTGGGCAGCGGGCCTTTGCAGCGGGCACAGCCACTGGCACAGACAGTGCGGGTCACTGTCAAGCAAAGGTTGGGATGAGTGCTAAGCAGTAGCCCAGGCACCAGACTCCCAACAGCATCACCTATAAAGATCCCCTGCCCTGAGGAGGACACCCTGGGCCTGATATCCCACCCTGCCCCTGGCCCCAGATTCTGGCCCTCACTAATACTCACAGCTCTGACAATCCTTGAAACTCTCTCCCCAGCAGCGGGAAACTTTACAAGCTGGGGAACAGGGCCTGCCTGGGAAGAGAAACAGAGAGAGACTGTAAGGGAGACAGAGAGAGAGAGAGAGAGAAAAGGGTTACCACGGACAGAAATACAAACAGCAACACGGACTGAAGGCAAGAGGCAGAATTGACAGTAAGGGAGCAACCCAGACAGAAAAAAGATGGACTCCAAACACAGACACAGCTTGGAAGCAGGACAGACAGGACAGAGGACCGTGGAGACAGAGAGAGAGACAGCAGGAGGGATGGAAACAGAGGCAATGTGTGGTTTCAGTGGCTGGGGGTTGGTAAACCAGGAGTTGAGGGTCAGGTGTGCTGTCAGAGAGAAGGGTGCAGGTGGGGGGCGGCTTACAGATCCGTGAGTGGTTGGCATCTACCAGCTCCAGGGACAGCTGGTTGTTCTTATGGAAGATGTCTTTCCACAAAATTGTCTCCTGGTAGCAAAGCTGGGGGTTCCGCAGGATCAGGACGCCTCCCTTCAGGATCTCTGCGGGATGGGTAATAATCAGGGGCTCTCTCACCCTCTGTCTCCTTTCTATCCTCCTCTGGGGCTCTCCTGACTCTCAAAACCCCCTAGGTCTCCAAAGGGGCAGAAAAGGCCTCCCCAGAGCACCTCAGAGGTTTCTCTTTGACGTTGCCTTGACTTCAGCATCTTCTGGCCCTACAAATACCATACCCCACATACATTCACAGTGTTACAGATGAACACACTGAGGCCCAGGGAGGAGTGAACGTCCATGTTGGGATCCAGATGTCTATGTCACTCTCTTCTTTCCCCTCCCCTCTACCCGGTGCACCTTGCTTAGTCATTAAGGTCTGAAACCCAGCTTCACCACTAACTAGTTGCATGACTTTGAGCAAGTCACTCAGTTATCTCATCTGTAAAATGGGAATAGCACTGATGCTTCCCTTGCAGGATTTAAGCAAGACTGAAATGGGATCATGTGTGCAAAGTGCCTGGTACCCAGAGCTTTGGGGCATTATCAGCTCTGGAGCTGCCATAGATGGTTATGCAGGTTGCTCACTGCAAACTCAGCCAATTGGGGGCAAAAACTTAGCCTGAGTTCTAATTCTCAAGCTGTGACTTACTGAGAGGAAGGAGAACCTTTTTCCAACTTGCACAAGGGCACCTTCCCCAGCTCTGCCTGCATCCACCCAGAGGGGTGCCATATATGGTTCCTACAGAGGCACCTCATGGCTAGCAATGGCCCTGGTCAGTCCTCACTACCCAGGAGAGCGTTTCAATGATGACAATGATGACCACCTGTGAGGCTTCGAAGCTGCAGCTCCTGCAACCCTCCTGGGGCAGCCCCTGGGGCAGAAGTGGCATGGTCTGGTGGGTTTCCATTGTCCTGCACCGCCAGGGCAAATTTGTCCTGGAAGAGCTGGGTGCCTCGTATGATTCGCAGCCTATGCAGCGGGACCTGCGTCACTTGGTTGTGGGCGATGAGCACGTAGCCCTGCACCTCCTGGATATCCTGGGAGAGGACAGGATGGGGCAGAGGGTGAGGGAGGTCTGGGCCTGGAAACACTACCCCACCTCCCACCAAGGCCTCCTCATCACTTAGGGATCTTGGGTATGCCCTGAGCCACCCTGAGCACTTCTTCAGGCACAAAATGGAGACCAAGAGCCTTCCCCTTGCCTCACCAGATTCTTGTATGATCAAGAAAGATAAAGGTGGAGGGAGCACTTTGTAAACTGTTAGCAAGTGCCCTGCCCTCTTTGCGTCACACTTTCTGTAAAAGGAAAGGCCTAGAGGAGATGATGTCTAGGATTTGACAGACCAAGCAACACCTCACTCTAGGGCAGCCACCAGGAATACAACTCAACAGGTTGGTTTCCACTCTGCCCTGCTCATAACCATTCATATACACGCCCATTTGATCTTCACAGTGGCCCTGCCAGGGGTAGGCAAAGCATATCAACTGCTCCCAATATGCAGATAGGGAAAGTGAAACTCAGGGAAGCTAAGGGCCTATACCACATACACAGCCTATCAGTTGCAGAATTGGACCTGGAACACATCATTCTCTCACCAGGCCTTTGCACTACTCCAGGAGAGAGAAAGATGGTGCCGGAGGAATTGGACAGTAGGGTAGGTGATCATGTTGGTAAGTAAACAAAAATTTAGCAGAAGAACACATGCATTCCACACAAAAAGGTCCATGGCTGGCCGTATTATAGAGTCAACTGACCTTGCAGCAGAATGAATGGGAGTTAGACATCAGAAAGGACTTTCTAGTTAAGGAACCACAAGAGAAGGAATACAGGGAAGAAAGACCCTCTTCTACCAGCCACCTATAAGCAGAGGGCTTGGCCCAGCTAGAGACGGGACTGGCTGGGTTGTCCATGGGCCTCACCTGCAGGAAGGAGAGGCTGGCATTGGCAGGCAGGTGGGTGAGCTCCAGGTTACCCTGCACCACCTGACAGCCCTGGTAGAGGTAGCGAAGCATGTCCAGGTGGGTCTCGGGGCTGGCGGGGAGCTGTAGCTTCATGTCTGTGCCGGTGCACACTGGCAGGAGGGAGGAGACAGGTCAGAAGGCCCCCTCCCTCATCCACACTCACAAAAACCCTGAGTTGTGTCATCTCGGACAGGGGGGAGAAAGCTAGGCTGAAGGATCCCTCTTCCATGTCCCTTGCACCTGCAGAGTTACCAGTAGAAGAAAGCTTGGGTGTCTGGGAAAGGAAGTTAGGGGAGCAGCTCCTTCTGGCTGGTCCCATCCTGAAAGAATCCAAGGGGGCCTGACTGGGCAGCCCTATGGAGATTGCCTGCCCAATTCAGGGTAGTGGCTGGCAAAGAAAGCCTCCCTTTGTCCCAAAAGCCACAACTCAGGGCCAAGGGGTAAAAATCCCCCAAGAGAGGAGATGAATCATGACTCCTTTGGATACCCCCTGCCCTTCTCCCAAGCAAACAAACTCAGGGCATTCTCCCCACCTCATTCCAACACCACCCACATGCCAACCTCCTGGCAACGGATACCCTGCTCCCCAATGCCACCCAGAAAATGGGAAAAAAGGGTCAGCTGGAATCATAGCTGGAGGCATGGGGCAAGCAAGGGCCTGGTCACTGCAGAGACCTCTGGAATTCCCCCAGGCAGAGAAAAGGAGAGTCAGGCCCTAGCTATGGGCATCCGGGTGCAGGCTCAGATCCTGGGCCAGGGTGACGCCTGTTGTGAAGGCTCCTAGGCTGGCACCTTCACCTTGCCACCTCCTCAGGGCAAGACTCCAGAACCAGCTGGCAGAATTGATGCCACGAAACTCCTGCCACAAGGACACTACGTCAGCCTTGTGTAACTGCCTCAGCGCCAACCATCAGACAAGGGGCATCAAGATAAACTGTCATACCTGGTCCACCTGGCCCCAGCCTGGTGTCCCTGGGACCAGAAGTACCCACTGAGATCAGAGATACTAGAGAGGGTAAACTAAGCTCCTGGAGAGGTGGGCGTTCTGGGCAGCAGCTGGCACCATGCCTGCCAGCAGGGGGCAAATTAAAGTGCCCAGTTGAACCCGTTTTTCTGCTCTGGTGAGAAGATGAATCACCTGGTGTGTCTTGCCCAGGAAGGAGGGGGGAAGATGGGAGGAGGGCACCCTGGGTCACACAGGCCCACAGGTGTCTGAGCTGCCCGGAATTCCTGCCTGTCCTCTCCAAGAGATTACACTGTGTGGGGAGGGCACAGTAGCTGGCTTCGAAGTGTGGCATCAAGGCCCCTGCTCTCCCAACTAGGAGGCTAAGGTCAAATCCTAGGGGGGTAATAAGAGACACCTCCTGCCTCTCAGAGCTGGTAGGGAAAGCCCCAAGGTTCCCGCCGGGGCTGGTGACCAACAGTGGGTAGGCTCCTTGTAACACCCAGTTGTTGTTGTTGTTATGTGCCGTCGAGTCGGCCCGACTCATAGCGACCCCTCCTTGGGTTTCCGAGGCAGTATCACTATGGAAGTAGGATTGCCCAACCTTCCTTCCGAGGAGTGGCTGGTGGGTTTGAACCGCCAGCCATCTGGTTAGCAGGCAAGAGTCACCTCTATTCCCAGACCACTGGGCAGAAAGGGAAAGAAGCAAAGAAGGAGAAAGAGGAGAACCTAAAAATGAAACTCAAGGGTCCATCCTCCTCCCAGATTGAGAAGAGAGAGACCGCCAGGCCTCTCCATCCAGGCTTCACCCACTGACACCTCCTTCTTCCTCAGCCCCTCCCCACTAAACTCCCAAGAGAAACAGGAGCTCAGGGTGGCAGGCCAGGCCCAAAATAACGCGCTGCTGCCAGGACCTCCTCCGGCTCGGCAGCTTCAGCTGCTTCACGGGCACAGCTGTCTCCAGGCCCAGACCCCAGTCCAGGCCCAAGCCTCGGGGACAGGGACCCGAAGGTCTGGGGCAGAGGCGTCTCCACCCCCTGCGGCCCTCTGCTGCCTCTGAGGGACATCAGCTGTGGCAGCTAGGCAATAGGAAAACAACAACAGTGGGAACTGGAAGCCGCACGGTAACCGAGTGCCTACTACTGTGTACCCAGAGGCATTCTGGGGGGATCTTCATAACACCCTCCAGAGGCCGGAACTGCAAAGGAGAAAACTGGGGCTGGCGAAAGTTAGGTACTCCCAAGGTCACAAAGCTTGTGTGCCACAGAGGCAGGATTTGAACTTGGGGCTCTCTGATTTTAAATCCCATATTCCTTCCACTAGGCCTAACAGCACATACACAAATATATCCCAAGCCCCATGCGACGTAAATACACGCCAACTCTCCCTGTGCCACTAATAAACAACACAGGGCTGTAGACAGGGCGGCTGGGCTGGCTGGACAGGAGGATCAGAAACCTGGAAGCCCCGCCCCACTAGTGAGTTTGTTTACCTGATTTGTGGCCGATGGGAGTCTGATTAAGACTCTTGGTCAAAATGTTTGCAGACAGGTGGTAAAGTTCATACCCTGAGTCCTACTCCCAAGGAGCTGAAGGCTGGCTAGCTAATACTCCCACCAATTTGTTATGAAGCCAAGAAGGCCTTTTGCACATCTCTCTTTTCTTCCCTCCCACCATGACCCCACCTCCACACCAATCTCCCCCTCACCAGTCCTCATCACAGCCCCCATATTCACCCACTCATTTGTTTTCTTTGGAGGTTGTTGTTGTTGTTGTTATGTGCCGTCGAGTCACTACGGAAGTAGGATTGCCCAACCTTCCTTCCGAGGAGTGGCTGGTGGGTTTGAACTGCCAGCCGTCTGGTTAGCAGGCAAGTGTTTTAGCCCTATGCTACCAGAGATCTTTGGAGGTAGAAAGTCCTAATTACACACAGGGAAGCTCTTTATCTCCAGGACACTTGCCCCCTCAGGAGCCCCAACCTCCAATTCTCCATGACAAAGACAGTGAGAAGGACCATGACAGAGCCTGGGCAGGGCTGTGATAAACTGGATAAGTATTAGATGAACGAATGAATAAAGTCAAGAGTCTCTAAGTCAAAAGGGACAGGATGCATCCTTCTGCTGAGAGGCTGGTCAGGGTCCGTCAGGGTTTGGTCTAAGCCCTAGATGGATTCTCTCATCCTCCTCTAGCCTCCAGCCTCTGCTGCTTCTCTTGCTCACCAGCCAAGACTTCCTTTGGTTTCCAGAAATGCTACCAGGACACCTACCTGTGTTTCCCAAGGCTCACCTACCAGAGACCTGGAGCCAGAGCCCACTTTAGTCTCACCAGAACTGGCCTGCCACACACACAGGGTGCATCAGACCTGGGCTCAGGATCTGTAGACCAAAACCCTAGCTCTGCCTCTTACCGTGTGACCTTGGGTCAAGTCCCTAGCCTTCTGGTTCCCTCAACCCATCCCCTCCAGGCAGGGGGTCCATCAGATCCATCGCTATGCCCTGCAGTACCTACTGCCTTCAGGGACTATGTACTGACCTGAACTTGGCTTAAGAAGAGAATCATAAAAACAACTCTTACTCTCCTCAGAGAAACTAAATGAGAACTAAATGAGTTGATGAACCAAAAACAGCCTGTAAACATGATAAGGCTTTGTAAACGAGACTGGGGCAACACAAACACTAGCTAAAATATATTTTTTTCCACTCCCTTGAGAGAGGACACGCCCCCCCCCTTTCTCTGCCTCAGCTCTCTTCCTAGGGGGTGAGGAGGACAGATGGCCCAGCCAGAGATGGAAGTGTCATCCCAAAGGGATTTCTCACAGGCTGAGGGTTGGGAGAAGGATCTCTTCCCAGTTCATTCCAGCCTCCAGGGGGAGGCACAGCTACCCCGGGCCCTACACCAGCCCTCCTACCCCATCCCTGCACTGATCACTCCTTCATGCTCCCACTCCAGTTTTCTCCCTCTGCCCACAACTCTGCATGTCGCAGTAGCCTCCACTCCCATCCTGTCTTCAGTCCTCTACCATGCTAGAAGGGCCCAAAACGAAGTTAGGTGTGGGCTAGACAGGTCGGAGGAAACAGCCCCACTGTCTGTCTTGTTAGTTGCCATCTGGTATGTCCCAACTCGTGGTGACCCTATGTACAGAAGAACACAGCAGTGCCTGGTCCTGTGCCATCCAGACAGTCATTGCTGTGCTTGAGTCCACTACTGCAGCCACTGTGTCTATCCATCTCCTTGAAGGCCATTCTCTTTTTCACGGACCATCTACTTTACCAAGCATGATGTCCATCTCCAGGAACTGATCCCTGCTGACAATACGACCTCAGTATGAGAAGCCATCCCCTCTTCTAAGGCACATTCCAGCCATACTTCTTCCAAAGCAGATTCATTCATTCTTCTGGAAGTCCATGTTGTATTTAATATTCTTTGCCAATACTATAATTTAAATGCATCAATTCTTCTTCAGTCTTCCTTATTCTTTGTCCAGCATTCTATTGCCCAATGAAATGGATGGGAAAGTCATTCAACTGAAAATCAGTGTAACATCTCTACTCCTTTCCGACCACATCACTGCCCCTCAGCCAAGGTTTTGCTCAACTCATTCCTGCTGAATGGAGTTAAGACTGACTAACCATCGACCATGGCTCCTTGATAGAGACCAAAATGCCTTGGACATTATTGGTTAGCTGGGTAGTTTGGGATAAGGTGCTTCTTTCTCTGAACTTAGTTTTCTTATCTGTGCACCTAACTTGACAGAATTGTTGTAGAGGTGAAACAAAAGTATGTGGAAGAACTTGGAATATAGTATGGACTACTCTGCACATACAAGAGAGGTTGTTGTTGTTGTTATGTGCCGTCGAGTCGGACCTGACTCATAGCGACCCTTCCTTGGGTTTCCGAGGCAGTATCACTACAGAAGTAGATTGCCCTATCTTCCTTCCGAGGAGTGGCTGGCAAGAGAGGTTAATACAGCAGAAATATGGGAAATCTCAAACCAAGTTAACATAAAAAGTGGTTTGTATTTGACTTTGGAATACAATATTTGTTCTTTTTTTACATTTGAGCCTATCTTTTCCATTGTTTGTTTATTTTTAATATTAAAATAAGGTTGGTAAAAGGAGGAGGCTGTTGGGAGAATCATCCTGGAATTATAAGTCTACATGATAAGAAGGATGTGTTTGCTTCAATTTACAAAACCTTGACCTCTAAGAAAGGGTCTCAGCAAAATCCAGACCCTCTGGGCCTTCCCCCACATTCCTGCCCCTGCCCTCAATCCCGGGATATGTAACAGGGGCGCTGGAGGCAGCTGGGTGGTGCGCTGCTGTTTTAATTATTCCCTGGCACAACACACCCAGCATCTCTCCCTGCACCCAGCAGGGCAGGCTGAGGGCTGAGGAAGATGTGAGGATGCCCCAGTCAACAGCGATCTAACGATCTAACGACCCTCTCACAACCCAGCCCTGCAGCAGCCCAGCCCCTCCTTGCCTGAGGGCCCAGCCTGGCCCAGCCTGGCCTCACCCTTCTCATCAGAGCACCAGGGGTGAGCACGCCTGCCTGGGAAACAGGGAGGGGAAGGATGGGCTCCCCGGGAAAGGGGATCCTCCTCCTTCTTCAGAAAGAAGGTGTGGGGCCATCCTGGCTGTAAACAGCCGATCTGGCCCAGTACCTTGAGGGAGTTCCTTAAGAGGACAGAGTTCAGCCAAGTGCCCAAGTCGGCAGGGAGATTGCTGTTTGGTAACACAAAAGCCCAGACTCACAAACACCCAGACCACACAACTCAGAAACATTGACACGCAGCCTCAGACACACGCATAGCAACGCTCTGACCCTCTGGAAACACACAGGCACCATAACACCAACCCCCTCTGGCGCCGGGGCTAAGGGGACCACCCACTACATTCAGAACATGCTTCCGTCTTCTCTACAACCTGGGGAAGCAGGGTGCAGTGTCCCCTTGTCCGCAGCAGATTAATACAGTGATTTTAAATGTGTGGTTGGGGGTCGGGCTGCCTGGAGGGGAATGAGAGCTCACCATTACGGGCTGTTACTTAACCTCATTAAGGCCCAGGTCCTTCCCTGGAATATGGAAATTACTAGTGGGACTCATAGGGTTGTTCTAAAGGAGGGGATGCATGCCAAACACTGTGCATAGTGCCCAGCACCAAGTACAAGGAGCCCTGGTGGCTCAGTGGTTAAGCACTTGGCTGCTAACCGAAAGATCTGCAATTGGGACCCACCAGCTGCTCCTTGGGTTGAAAGCTGTGACAGTCTACTTCTGTAAAGGATACAGCCTTGGAAACTCTGTGGGCAGTTCTACTCAGTCCCACTGAGTCGCTGTGAGTTGGAATTGACTGGATGGCAATGGGCGGGTGGGTGGTAGGTAGTAGCACCAAACACATCCCCAGTACACCCTAGCTTTCAGCATTACTGCCTGCAAATGCACAGATGCCCTCTCAGGACATATTGCCCCCCAACTCACTTTCCCACACACAACAGGAGGCAAAAAACGGCTCCATAGCCCATTCTTCTGCACAGCCCCCTGGCCCCATTTCTGACTGCTGCTCCAAACTGGCCAGCAATCTCTCCCTCGGAACTCTCCTCCCCCTTTATGTTCCAGAACCCGAAATCCCCACCACCACTCCGCCATCCCTATGCTCTCTGAAAGTCATAAAGCACCCAGCTCCAGGGCTGGCCTGAATGAAACTTGTTCAAAAACAACCGTCTGGCCCTCCCCCAGCCCAGACCCCAGTGTGAGGCAACTCGGCAGACCGACCAGCCGCCCTCTGGGCCCGGCTCCGGCTGAACAGGTTGCTCTCCCCACCTCCCCCTCCACACCCCGACCCTGCCTGGAGCTGGAGTAACCAAACCCCAGCGACTGAAGGGGGCGGGAAGGGGGCGGGGAGGGGCAGGGCGGAGGGGACCCCCCAAAGGAATCCAGCCCAGGCCAGCCTGGAGGCGGAGGCTGCCAACTGGAAAAGCTTCGAGAAAGCTTGGGAGGGCTCAGAAGGGGGCACGCACACACATACACACGCTCTCACACACTACACCGCGCAATCCGCCCTTTCGGGAAAAACTTTCCGAAAACTTCCAACAACTTTTTGACAAGTTCCCGGAGCCAGGCTCTTGAATGGACCCTCTAGAACTGCTCCGTTGTAACTGCCTCCTGGCCCATCTTCTTTTGCCCCCTCCTTGCCCGAGGCCCCGGCTGCCAGGAGCGCCCCGGGTTCGGGTCCGGAGAGCTCGCCGGGCCCCGAGACTGCAGTGGCTCCCGCCGCTGCCCCATGCCCTCCCCATCCCAGACCCACCTTGGGTGCCCGCGGCTCCGGGGGGCAGGAGGGCGAAGAGGAGCCCCCAGCGGCACCAGGCCGCCAACTCCATGGTGCTTACTGCGGCTCCGGCTCCATGGCTCCGGCTGGACCAGGCTGCGCGGGCGCCGGGCGCGGCGAAGCAGAGGGCGAGAGCTGGGCGCCGGGCCGGCACCCGGGGAGGGCAGGCGGCAGCCTCGGGGTGCTCCTGGTCGCTCGGCCACGATCGCGGGGAGGTTCAGCTCACAACTTCATTTTGTACTTCCTCAAGGCAGCCCTCCTCCTCCTCCTCCTCCTCCTCCTGCTGCTCCTGTGATTGGGAGCAAGCGCGCTCGCAGCTCGCCCCCCCCACCCCCTCCAACTGCATTCCAACAAGTCTCGGGGAGTGGCAAGTCCCGGCTTCACTTTCTCCCTCTCTCCGCGCAGGCCTGCGAGCGTCCTTCCCAGGGCCCGGACGCCTGGGTTCCCTGCAGCAGTTCTCAAACGCTAAAGGCGGTGGAGAACCTCTAGAAGCGGTGATTCTTCCCCTTTGGGGCAAAATCTTTAGGGGCTGCCTGCATCCTTAACGCTCTTTTCAGTCCCCCATTTTATCTTAAACATTCCTGGCGAGTTTGCGTCCTACACCATTGCATGGCTATTTGTTTTAATATCAAATAATGGTTGTCCCACAGTCAAGGAGGACAATGTGGCATTCCTGAAAAACCTTTTCGAATCTTTTAGGTATTTTCTCCAGTTTGAAAAGCATGTTCCTAAAGGACCTACAAATGAGGCGGGGGTAGGGGAGAGGTTCCAATGGGTGGGGCCTTCTCCGCATCCTTGGAAGAACATCCCTTTTGTTTCTTTATGGGGGCATCCAGCACCTAGTTCATTCAACGTTTCTTCTCTGTCCCCTGTCTTTTATTGTTGTTCTTATGTGCCATCAAGTAGACCTGACTCATAGCAACTCCTCCTTGCATTTTCCGACTCATAGCAACTCCTCCTTGCATTTTCCGGGGTGGTATCACTACTGAAGTAGATTGCCCACTCTTCCTTCAAAGGAATGGCTGGTGGGTTTGAACCGCCAGCCTTCTGGTTAGCAATCAAATGCTTTAGGCACTAAGCCACCAGAGCTCCTCTTATTACTCTGCTCAATTCCATCTCCCCACCCTGCATTCCACTTGGACCCCCTGACCCTGATCCTCAGGCCCAATGGTGGAAGAGGGGTGGGGATGGAGATGGAAACAAGACATGTTTTTGCTGGAGATTCCAACAAAATAATACATGGGACACACTTAGACTACCAAATTATCTGTTGTTTGCCTGAATTCAAATTTGACTGGGCATCCTTATATTTATTGCTAACTCTGGCAAATCTAATTGGAATATCTCAGCTGAGAGCAAAGCCTGTACTGGTCAAGAGAGGGTCAGAGGGATCTACTGGAAATAGAGAATAAAGGGCACTTCTGAAATGGCTTCCAAGTGATTGGCACGAATAGAAGCAGGTACTTCTACAGGGGCTCTGGGAGTGGAATGACCTGAGTTCAAATCTCTCCACTCTGCCTCATTTTAGCTGTGTGATCTTGGGCAAGTGACTGAGTCTGTCTGGGCCTCAGTTTGCTCATTTTTGAAATAGGGCCCCTTCTAGCATCTGACATGCTGTGATAGAGGCTAACTGAAGTAATGTTCCTGAAGCACTTAGCACTGTATTTGGCACACAGTAATTGCTCAATAGTCCCAATGGTGTTATACTGGGGCAGATCCAGGTTTTAACAGGGCCTGAAGCTTATAAAGATTGGGACACTCTCTCTAAGAGAAGGAATTTGTTATTTTTGTTGTTAGGAGCCATCCAGTCAATTCTGACTCATAGACCCTACAAAGTTATAACACAAAACAGAATCCATTAGAGGTTCGTGAAACCAACTGAGACTATTAAGATTGACTTTGTTTTATTTTAGGAAATAAAGTGGAATAGAAAATGTCTGAGAGCGTCACATGTAGTAAGGGTAACTTTGTTTTTGTGTGTGTGCCCTAGACAGTGATGTAAAATGGTTTTATTCCTTGGATCATAGTAGCACATATTCAAGAAACTCTGCTGTGCACAGGGACACAGCAACCCTTCAAGATGGGCTTTCGAATTCCTATTTTCTCTAGAGGCAGGATTAAGGAAACAAGTTCAAAAGAGTTAAGCAATTTGCCCAGGACTGTCTTAGGGCTAACTGGGAAAAAGTTGAACATCCAGCAAAACCAGCCCCTCACCCTCCACCATGTCATACAGCCCAGAGCCTAGTCAATGTGCCTCTCAGCCCTTCAGGGAGAGAGAAGATGCTGACTTGGCTCTAAGAGTCACTTGCTGATCACACATTGTCTTAAATATCTAGTGCTGCTATAGCAGGAGTACCACAAGAGGATGGCTTTAACAAACAAATGTATTGTCTCACAGTCCCACAGTTTAGGAGGCTAGAAGTTCAAATTCAGGGTGCCCACTCTAGGGGAAGGCTTCCTTTCTGTGCTGGCTCTGGAAGAAGGTCCTTATCTCTTCTGAGCTTCTGAACCTAGGCAACTTTCATGTGGCCTGGCATCTATCTTACCCCATCTCTGTTTGTTGGTGTACTTGCTTAATCTCTTTCATGTCTCAAAAGAGATTGACCCAAGATACACTACACTAATCCTGATTCATTGATGTAACAAAAAACAACCCATTCCCAAATGGGATTATAACCACAGGCATAGAGGTTAGGATTGACAACATGTATTTTGAGAGGATATAACTGAATCCATAACACAGCAAGGGTTTCCACCTGAGTGAGTGGACATGTGGCCTTCCAGAAACCATCAGGATGTTAGGGTCAAGGTTGGGGTCAGGGGTCAGAGGTATCCCTTCTCCCCCAGAGTCAAGAAGGGCTCATCCAGTCAGAAATGCTGCCACTCTCTGTCCTAGATCCACAGTCCGTGTGTCACTGAGTCCTCAAGGCACCAGAGGAAATGTGTGTTATTGGGACCCTTTTACAAAAGAGAAACCACAAGATTCCTAGAGGTAAGGAACTTGTCCCAGAGCAGAGCTGAAAACTGAACCTGGCCTTTAAAGCCATAGGGGTTTGGGTTTGTACCGTTAGCTTCAAGAACCCTCCCTCTCCCCAGACCCCTGGGGAGGAGCTGCAAGAGACCCCCTCCAAGAAGTCCAAATCACTTCTCTCCACAAAGATCCCACCTCCCCCTCCATAAGAAGCCCACCCTCTCTGCAGCCAGATCCCTGGGCGGAACCCAGGCTGGCAGACAAAGCTCAATCCTAGTGGGCTGCACAGAGAGGGCGGAGCCAGCAGAGTAGGGGCATGAGAGGGGGTAGGGGAGGAGCTGGGGTCAGAACGCACACCCCAGGGGAGGAGGCTCGAGAGGGGCCAATCTCTCCAAGAGAATGAGCCCATTCAGAGCCGGGAAGGATGGGGAAAAATCCTTGTCTGCTCTTGACAAGAGGAGAGGAAGGGGGGCAGGGGTGGTTGCTGTTAATTCGATTCTCCTCTCACTGTCCCTCCATCAGGGCCTGGCAGGAGAGCCAAGGAAAGAGGATGTCTAAGGAACAAAGAAGGAGGGGGGAGTTACAGGGGGGAAGAGACGGCTGGGGAGCAGGAGCAGGATGGTTGGAGGGGCATGAGAGTCCACGAGAAAGGCTTAGTGAGGGGCCTAGGGAAAGGGAGACTGGGGTACAGAGGAAGGAGGACAGAGGGGAGCAAACAGAGGGTCAGAGAGGCAGATGCATGAGATATGTCCAAGAAAACCTTTGGACGACAGGTACAGGACCCCTAGGCAGCAGAGGTGACCACTGGCACTGAGGCCACAAGACAAGGCTCTAGTTCACAAAGGTGACCTCTAAGGGTCGACAGGCGGGGGTCTGGAACAAGCAGCCTGTGAAATGCCAGTCAATCATTGACCAGCCACTGGGACTGGGGGCACATGAGGCTGTGTGTTTGTGAGTGTGTGTGTGTGTGTGTGTCTGCTGGCACCGGAGTCTCCTCCCCTCTGCCTACTTCACCAGCCAGCCTGGGGTCAGAGGACTGAAAACAAACAGAAGAAGGGAGGGGACAGTCCACAGTCCGAGGTCCAGGCCACAAATTGGGGCCTGCCTCATAAGGCTTCAGGCCTAGGGCATGGGTTCCTAGGTGAGTGTTTGTATGAATGTTACTTAGAGTTCCCTGAGAGTAGGCACAAGGCCTCCCTGGGGCCTCAGGAGAGTAACTTAGAAGCCGCTGATAAGAAATCAGTCCTTCCTCCAGGTGGGCATTTATGAATATGGCCTAACCACAGGAGCTGGTCCCTGGGCCCAGGGTTAAAGAAGAGGCAGAGCCCAAACTCGCCAGACCTGCTGGCCCTGGTCATGCTGATGGCCTCCTGCAGCCCCTCTCAGCCACAGAGGAATGCAGGCCCAAAGCCCCTTTCTCTCCTTAAGCTGCTTTGCAAGAAAAAGCACTCTGCCCTCAGCCTCACCTAGCTTTAATGCATATATACGAGAAGGAATGGGTGACTTACAACCTGGCCTGTGCATACCAAGCTGCCATTCATGGTGCTCATTTCTGTGTGTCAGTGTGTGTGTTGCTGTTTAACACGTGCCCTTCGTTTATCTATGGGTCTCTCCTTGAACAGTAGTAGCTTTGCTGAGTGGCCTTGGATAAGGCCTCACTTTGCTGTCCAAAATATGAGCTGGACCGCATGGTTCCCGGTCATAGTGTTGCAGGATTTGGCGTGGGAACAATGACCCCTCCAACACCCATCTTTGTCCCTTGAAAGCCCCATTGAGCCATGTGTCTCTCCTAGGTTCCTGGTTTTACCAGCTCTGAATCTTCCCGCTTCCTCGGCCCTCCAGGACCCCAAGGACATCCTCCTACATGCTGAAGTTTAGATCATGAGAATATGAGTGAGAACACTCTTGCCTCTGACTTTTGGTTTTGGGAGAAGACTAGAAAGTTTCCAGAAGCATAAAATGATGGCAATCATGGTTTTGGGGAACATAGCAGTTTCAGATGATTACATTCTGTTAAAAAATTAAAAACAGACATCTTACTTTAATTTCAAGGAGTTTCTCTCTTACCAAAAACCAAAACCAAATCCAATGCCATTGAGTCAATTCCACTCATAGTGACCCCCACTGGGCTTCCAAGGCAGTAAACCTTTGGGAAGTAGATTGCCCCATCTGCCTTCTGTGGAGTGTCTGGTGGGTTTGAACCACCAATCTTCTGGTTAGCAGTCAAATGCCTTAGGCACTGTGCTACCAGAGCTCCTTTCTCTCTTACACGTGAGCCCAAAATTAACAATTAAAGCCTAACTCAAACAGCAAAGCTATTGACTTGCATTTTGTTTTTACCAAGGAATGCTAACTACCCTGAAACGTCAATTTGCCTTTTCCGGCTCAGAAAAGAGTAGTCAATAACAAACCCATTACTCATGATTTAATGAAAAAGACTATGTGCTTCCTAAATTTTCATCTCAAGAGGTCTTATGGCTACAAATATGTAAAAGATCAAGTTTTACATATTTGTAGCCATATGTAAAATTGAAATCTTTTCAATGCGAACTCAATCATCATAAGTACTTTATTACTTTAAATTCTTGTATTCCGTGAGGGAAAAATTATATATATATAACTCATATTTAAGTCTCTGTAAAATTCCAGTCCTCAGAAGGCGTGCTCTCCAAATTTGCAAAGTGTTTATTAAGTCATAGAGCAATCATACATTGTGTTACTGTTTTGAGCTAATTTAAAGGTTTATTTTTAACAATTCTAAACTAGCCTACTTGTTCTTAGAAACAAAATTATATCCATGCCCACATACAGATTAACTACTCGGAATAAACCCTATGTTTTAATTTCATTATGTTTTTATTCTTTTTTAACAGTTTATTGCACCTACATTATTGATTTCTCTCTTTCCTTGCCCATTATATCCAATTATTATTTAATATATATTGATTCCTTTTCTTTTACACCTATGTTTTTAGTGTAAATTCTATCACTTCTCCTTTAGAGTAAAGCACCAGCTTTTGGTCTCCCAAATGCAACTCTTGCCACCTATAGTCCTTTTCCGCCCCACAGTAGCCAAAAGAAATGTTTTAAATATAAATCATATCATGGCATTAAATCCAGTGCTAACACCACCACCTCCACCCCCAGTGACTTGCTATTGCCAAAACTCTAACCCCAGGATCTGTGAGACCCTATAGGATCTGGTCACCAGATGTAACAACTATTTCCAGTTTCTTGCATATCTGTATAGATGTATTCTCCAAAATAACAAACATAATATTTAGTCTTATTGTTCTTTACACAGACTACATATATAGTATGCTCTGCACCTTGCTTTTTACACTTGAAAATATGAAGACTTTCCATGTCCATACATAACAAGTATGTCTGGTTATTATGAACTTCTGCTCAGAATTCCATTGTCTGGATCTCCCCTAATTAATGTAATTCATTACGTATTAAAGCACATTTGTTTCTTTCTTTTCTTTTTCTTTCTTTGTGTTTTTTTCTTGGCTATTGAAAGTAATGCTGCCATGAATAGCTTTGCACTTGCACCATTTGCACTGTACATTGGAGTCACATACCTAGGAATGAGATTGCTGGGTTGTAAGGTTTGTGTACATTACTAAATTAAAGAGTATGTACACTGTACAGTCAGATAACATAGATTACACTACTTAGTGGTTGCAGCAATTTACTCTTCCATTGTTAGTGAAGTCATCTTGGTCCGTTGTTTGGTATTTGTTTATTGCCTATCTCTTTCCTCTGGCCATGAAGTGTCTTGTTCATCATTCTGTCCCCAGAACCTGAATAATTATTTGGTGAATAGGGAAAAAACAAAAACAAACAAAACAACTCACTGCCATGCAGTCAATTTTGACTCATAGCAACCCCTATTGGGCTATTGAGGTAACAGATCTTTACAGAAGTATATTGCCTCACCTTCCTTCCACAGAGCAGCTGGTGGGCTTGAACCACCAATCTTCTGGTTAGCAGTCAAATGCCTTAGGCACTATAACACCAGGAGCCCTCATACCTATAGACTACCCCCCTATTTTTGCTCTAAAAATATGGCTAGCTTGCTATTGAACCATTGGTATATTATACCATTTGCTTTGCTTTTTCTTCTCTCTGCACTGGGAACCATTTCTGACTCATGTTTATTTTATTTTTTTCCTAGGTCAGTACAATGGCTGACACCCAGTAAAGCTCAATGAGACTGTGTTGAAGAAACAAATCAATGATAACTTTATGGGCCAAATACAAATTAGGAGGCTGATTAAGCTAAGGAGAGAAGTTGGGCTGAAAGGCCAGGAAATGGCTTTTTAGAAATGTGGGGCTAGACTGACTGGGAAAACCCTCCAGAGATGTCTCAGAGAGAGAAGACTCTACCTCCCACCAGGAAAACAGAACAAAAGTTTCGATCACCCCCTCCATCTGGGATTCATCAGGTATGAAAACAGGATTTTTCAATAATCTGAGAAATATGTGAGACCTGAATTTTTTAATTGGTAGCTCCAAAATATAAGAAAACTACAAAAAAGTAATGGTTTATTAAATATATACAACATAACAATATGTCAACTATTAAGTCAATTCAATTATATATAGCTATTTATAGGAGCTCTCATAGTGGCTAAAGCACTTGACTGCTAACCAGAAGGCTGGCGGTTCAAACCCACCAGCCACTCCTCGGAAGGAAGGTTGGGCAATCCTACTTCCGTACTCGACGGCACTTAACAACAACAACAACAGCATAGCTATTTATAAATATTATTTAAGTGGGATGTGGCCACATTTTAATGTTTGCTATAATATAGCTGAGGCCTTCTAAATTGGAACCTTAAACATTTTAAACAAGCTCTATCTCTATCTCAAAGTCCCGTCACAGGAAGGTACCTGCCTGTCAAAATTTTATCCTCTTCAATCCTAAATCTCATCTTTAAACGGGAATCCTCATAAAAAGGACTCATTCCAGAGTTACGTTAAGGACAAAATGAAGTCATGTACAGCAAACCTTGCCAAACCTGGAATGTGTGTAAGGCAGAGAAGGAAAACTCAATTACTTTGCACCAATATAAGTGATAGAAAAGTGGTAAGACTGCACCCTGTCAAAGGCAGAAAACTTGTGAGACCCAGAAAAACCAGGCAGTTGTGGCAAGTTGGGCTCTCGCAGGTTTCCTGTATTAGAAAAGGCCTGATCTGCGGTCGCAGAACCATGTTAGTACTTGATTGTTTCTGGTTAGCTCCTGGGAGGCTAAGTGGTTGTTTTCTTCATTTCAGCTTCTCCGTTTCCAGCCTCAACTCCAGAGGATACTATTCATGTTATTTTTCAACTCTTAGAGGCAGCATTTACAGAAAATGGAATGTGAATGGCGCCCCTCAAAGTGTCAGTCACATAAAATACAATGAAACTTGTGACAGCCAAACTCACGAGGACTGTGTTGTTTTTCCAGGTCTCACAAGTTTTCCACCTTTGCCAGGGCGAAGTCTTACTGCATTTTCATTGCTCATTTTAGTGAAAATGCTTGACTTTTTCCTTTCTCACAGTTTTCTGTCTTGCACAGGTTTTGGCTTTCCCAGGTTTACTGTATATGAAGGGTGCTTTCAGGAGTTGTCTTGCCTACTAAGGGCTAGTTGTTGGTGCTGGTGGTGTTGGTTGCCATCGAGTCCATTTCGATCTGTTTCCAACAAGGGCTAAGGGCCTAGGAAAGTTCGCTTGACTGAATGAATGGAATCCAGTTTTACTTCTTGTTCTTGCCATTACCTCCACCCCCCACCCCCAGGATAAAAAGGAAAAGTTGACCTGGAGTGGAGAGTGTGGGGGAGGGGGAAAGGCTATCACTATTATTATGCATTGAGCTTCAAGGCTTCAGGAAAAGGAGATGGGGGGAGCGGTGCTGGTGGTATTTGGGGGAGGGGCTGGGATACCAGAGAAAGTATCGTATTCCCAAGGGTCCTCCACTTAAATTTTCCTTGAAATTCCTTGTAAATCTTTCCTATCTCCGTGTGGTGCGAAATCACGCTGAATGATTTGACAGCCCTTGATCTGGCACCCAGTGAGTCCTTCTGTTGAATAACGCTGTTCATTCATTTTAAAAAAAGCGTACCAAGAGTCCTAGTTGGGAAAACAGACCTTCGTAGATTACATCACCCTCGGTCGGTTAACAACACCCTCAGGACGTGGTGGTTAAGCTCTGACTAGAAGAATAAGCAGGAGTGAGAGTAAAATTGAGTCTGGAGGAGAGGAGTGAAGGAGAAAGACCTGATCATACAGAGCTTGTGACTTTTGGACTTTATTCTGAGGATCATTAGGAGCCTGTAAAGAATTTTAATAAGTGACATGGTCAAATTTTAATTTTTTGAAAATAGAGTATGGGCTCAAGGGGCAAAAGTAGAGGCAGGGAGACCCACTAAGAGGCTATTGCAACTGTCTTGGCGACAGATAATGATGGCTTTAAAATGGTGGTTGCAGTGGAGATGGAGAGAAGTAAACAGTTCCAGATATATTTAGGAGGTGAAACCTGACAGTGATGGCGACAAAATAATAGCTCCACCTCAAAGGAAAAGAGAGACCCTGGAAAAGAAACAAGATGGATGTTGACAACAGAACACTATTTTAACCCTTAACTAGGTAGGCTTCCTTCTCTTAACTCTGTCGCCTCAATATCTGTAGACAGAAGCATGAAGCACAAAAGGCGGGGCAGGCGCCCATTTTGAAAAAAAAAAAAAAAGGGAACTTTTATTTAAACTGGGCGGACGAGACTCGAGAGGAGAACAATGAACACAAGGCACTTCCGGTTACTCCGGAAGTAGAGACTACACACGCTCCTGAGTTCCTTAGCCAGCGGCTGGCAAGGGTGAGGGAATGGCCGGGCGGGCGACGCGACTGGTCCTACTGGCCGGGGTTGCCGCGGTGGCGAGCGGCTCCCAGGGCGACCGCGAACCAGTGTACCGTGACTGTGTGCTGCAGTGCGAGGAGCGGAACTGCTCGGGGAGCGCGCTGAAGCACTTCCGCTCTAGCCAGCCAATCTACATGAGTCTGGCAGGTAAGCCCCGCCCCTCTTCAGGCCCCGCCCATTTGAGCTAGGTCCCGCCCCTTGTGGGGTCCCTCCCCCTCCCCCTCCCCTCCCCAACCCTCCTGCAATCTCTGAACCTTAGTTGAGCCAGGGTCTGTGCTGAGTGTGAGAGAAGCCCCAGGGTAGGGTCCTTTATGAGGGTCAGAGGAGTCCCAGGATAATTAGGATCTTACCTGCCAATCTTGCTTTTCCAAAAGCTTTCATTCACTTTTTATTTGTTCAGTTAAACGGATATTTATTAAACATTTTCTGAGTGCAAGGCCCTGGAGTGACAGAAATCAGACCCAGGTCCTACCCTCACAAGGGCATTAACCATCTCACATACAAGGTAGGGTACTGCTGGCTGGGGTTGCAGCGGTGGCAAGCGGCTTCCAGGGCTTGTTTGATCCCTAAATGACCCTTTGATTAAGCGCTAGGAGCATTTGGGAGAGTTAGGAATCACTTCTGGCCTTGAGGAGGTGGAGACAGGATCATCTTGGGCTACTTATGTGAAGAAGGGACTTCCCATCTGATTTTTGCCTGGTAGATGCATTAAATTTGTAACTGTGGTCATAATGAGCAAACCAAATCAAACCCAATGCCATCGAATTGATTCCAACTTATACCAACCCAATTTGTTTGTTTGTTTACCTATTATTTAATTAAATTATTTATCTATTAGTTACTTGTCTATTATTTTGTGGGTTTTTTCAAAGTGGGCAGGGAGCCAACATACTGGGCACTCACTGTGTGACAGATACCACAACTGGTCAGTTAATTTTCACAACAACCCTTTGAAGTAGTTTCTCTTGATATCCCAATTTTACAAGGTGGGAAAACTCAGAGGGGTTAAGCGCCTAGCCCAAGATCACACAGCTAATAAGTGGTGAAGCAGAGTTTGCAGCTCTGGCCTTTCTGACCACAAGCTTGTTCTCTTGTCACTACACCTTCTGCATTCCAGACAGAGGGAACTGAAAGAGTATAGGCCCTGGGTAGCTGTGGGCACTTCCAGCAGATTGGTTTATTCAGGAAGCAGGATGCATGATAAGGGGAATAGTGGGAGATAAGGTTGGAAAGGCAATTTGGGATCAAAAAGCCAGATAATTTGGGCTTCATTTTTATGGAGGAAGGCAGTAAGAGCTCCTCTAGTGAGAAATGAGAGCAAATCCTGTGTTCAGGTGGGGTAACATAAACCCAGGTATTCATAGATGAGTCCCGTGGAAGCTGAGATCCCTATCTTGGGTGAAAGAAGAAGAGAACACCCCCACTTGCTCACTGTATATCTTCCCATCTCCAAAGCGCACTTAGACACACGCACACTCTCTCTCACACACACATCCCTTCCCCTTATATGTATCTTCCACCAACTCTCATCCATCCAAGTGGGAATGTAGAATTTTGAAATTCCTTCTGGTTTTCTCCAACCTGCAGACCCTTCTCCTGTGGGCCCCATCCAGGCTCTTCCTATGCCTGCTATGCTGGCGAATTTACCAGACCACATTTTGTGTTTTGCAGGCTGGACCTGTCGGGACGATTGTAAGTATGAGTGTATGTGGCTCACTGTTGGCCTCTACCTCCAGGAAGGTCACAAAGTGCCTCAGTTCCATGGCAAGGTGAGTTGGAGGGGTCAGGGTAGGCGTATGGTGGTGGGATGGTAAGTGTCTTATGATACTCCGCGGGTGGACCTCATCCAAGAAATGAGGCTGAGACTCTGGCCATGGCATGATCGTTGTGTGTTTGGAGCAGATAAGTCTTGTCAAAATCTAGTGTTCATATAATCACCTGGGACAAAGTGTGCTACCTCTGGATTTGTGGCCTGACTCTGGATTTGGAGAAAGATGATCTGGGGGGCTTTGAGTCTCCTCACAGGTGCTGCTGGGCTTTTGTGGGTGGTTGTGATAGCTACCTTGCCACAGGGACAAATCCCCTGACCCACCATGGCATGATTTCCATTGCTTCTCCAGTTGTTGTTGTTATGTGCCGTCGAGTCAGACCCAACTCATAGCGACCCCTCCTTGAGTTTCCAAGGCAATATCACTGTGGAAGTGGATTGCCCAATCTTCCTTCCAAGGAGTGGCTGGTGGGTTTGAACCTCCAGCCTTCTGGTTAGCAGTCAAGTGCCTTAGGCACTACACTACAATATCCCCTCAGATTGCCAGTGAGCCCCAGTTTTCTGGTGCCTTTTGATACAGTATTCTCATTCTAGTCTGGTGAGGTTGGCAAGAATTGTCCCCAATTTACCATAGAGTAAGCTGAGTCTCACGGTGCTTGTGGTCAGTGGTAGAGGAGAGACTAGGATGAGTGTCTCCTGAATGGCAGATCTCTGCTCTTTCTATCTGCTGAGCACCTGCTGTGTGTCCTAGGCTATGTTGAGCCATCTGCATTGGTTCACCTGATCTTCCCAAAGACAAGGGGTTATAGTGCTTTGAGTGCTGGCCAGGACTGGGAGTGTGACCCTCAGCCAGGAACTGGAAGGGAGTTTGTTGGTCTGAGGCTCTGGCCAAGGTCACCTATATGTGCAGGAGTCAGACTGGGGCCCATTGATGCAGCATGTCAAAAAAAGGTAGGTTGGACCAGTGGGGAGTTGCCTGTCCCTCAGTCCCCCCGCACCTACTCCTTTTTCAGTGGCCTTTCTCCCGGTTCCTGTTCTTCCAAGAGCCAGCTTCTGCTGTGGCCTCCTTCCTCAATGGCGTGGCCAGCCTGATGATGCTGTGCCGCTACCGCACCTCCGTGCCAGCCTCCTCCCCCATGTACTACACCTGTGTGGCCTTCGCCTGGGTAAGTAACCTGTTGGGATTCCTGTTCTATACCCTCATCTAGGAAGGAAGAACTCTTAGGTTCTCATTCTCACCCAACAGGGCTTCTACCCACCCAGCTTCCCCTCTGCTAAAGTTGCAGCTGGGGGTGGTCCAGCCTGGATAGAAAGCAGGGAAGGTCCTGAATCAGGCCTACCCTCCTAGCAGAGCCTTCTACCAGGCCGTTGGGGAGTAAAAGAGGAAAGAAGTATGGTTCTTATCCTAAAGGAGAAAGCTACTAAACGATCCAACAGGACAGTTCACAGACATGGAGGGAGATGGGTGGTAGGGAGCATGCTGGGACCGTGGATCTTTCCACGGATCTCTCTGGGGCATATAGGATGCAAGACCCCTCTGGAGCAATCGGAACAATCTCAAATCCAACCCAGGCCTGGTGGGCAGTGGCAGCCACAGCACTCTCAGTCTAGAGCTGAGCCTGGTCTTACACCATCCCTGGAGAAGCCAAGGGATGTTCCACCTGCATATCAGAGAGGCCTCTAAGTCTCACAGTGTCTGGTCAGAAGAGCTGGCATACAGGGCCTGGAATTATGTGGGAAGCATGGTCTGGGGGACAGATGTGAGCTGTGACCACCTTTGGGAGGGTGTGTGAGTAAGAGGTTGCAGTGGATTCTGTAAATCAGAGCTGCCACTTTAAGCTCTAAGGAAACATTCCCCACTCACTCATCATCCTGCCATTAAAACAGCCATCCATTCATGTATTAAGCACCTACTATGTGCTATGCATTTTGCTGGGTGCTGGAGATATAAAATGTACCAAAACAGACAGGTCCCTGCCCTCAGGTATTCATTACTCAGTCATACAACTGAATGGTGAAAGTACAACTATGAAGAAGTACAGTGGAGGAGAGGTGGTTTAGGGGTGTGTGATGAGGGAACCAGACCAGCATAGGACAATAAGGGAAGGCTTCCCTGAGGAAAGGATATATGGTGAAATAAGTTGGAAATGTTAAGGAAACATTAACTAGGTGAATTTAGGGAGAGCAGAGCCAGGACACTTGGGATGTACACAGGCAGGAGAGAGAGTGCAGGTCATTCAAGGAGGCCTGGTGTGCAGGAAGCCAAGGAGTAGGGTATGAGATGGGCAGATGGTGTTGGCCCATGAAGGGCATGTTAATCTTTTAGATTTTGATCCTTACAGCATCAGAAGCATTGAGAGATTATAAAGGAGGTGGGAGAGAGAAGGAACTTCATGACTAGATTGGCCCTTTGGAAAGGCCATTCTGGCTACTGTGTAGAGAACAGACTTAGGGGTGTAGATAGGAGTAGATATAGGGGACCAATTGGTAGTTTTAGCACAGGGCACAGTAGCTAGACTAGAGAGGAGGCCTGTAGGGGTAGAAGGTGCGTTAAAAAGAATTGAATGTGCTCGAGCTATGTTTTAGAAATGACATTTAAAAATATTTTAATTATTCTATTTTATAAGCACATTCTTACCTGTTACTGTATGCCAGGCACTGTTTTAAGCATTTTATAAAATTTAACTTTGGTAATCTTATAACAAGCTTATGATGGAGGTGTTATTATTATCTCCAGTTTGCAGATGAGGACACCAAGGACTGAAAAGTAACTTGCCTCGGGTCCTGGGGCCACACTCTTACCTTCTTGGCTATGCAGACAAGCCTCAGTGGTGGACTGGCTGGAGAGAGAGGAGTCAAGGATGACCCCCCTGTGTTTCCACTTGTGAGACAGTGTGTATGGATGAGATCACCAAGGGAGGAATTAATGAGAAGGGACTGTGAGACAGAGCCCAGGGGAACCCCAAAACAGAAAGGCTTGATAGAGAAGGATGAATCAGCAGTAGAGACAAAAGGAGTGATAAGACAGGTAGTGGGGAACCAGGAGGTGGTGTGTTGTAGGAGCCCCAGAAAGGGGACAGGGAGGAGAGAGTAGTCAGCTTTCCTGAATTCTGCTGGACAGTGGAATGAGATGAGGGCTGAAGGATGCCCTTGGACCTGGTGACCCCAAGGGCTCTGAGGACCTCAGGAAGACTGATGTTGCCAAGAAGTCCAGGCTAAGCCCTAGACATAGGAAGTAGGGATCAGAAAGAGGCTGTCAAACCTCTGGGAAATCCTCCCTAATGCTTTCTCATCAACAAACACTGACAATACTAGTTCTAAACTATGGAACATGAACCATGTGAAGGTCCTAAACACTTAGGTACATTTTCTCATTTGCCCCTCATAACACCCCCGTGAGCTCTGAGTTACTAGCAAGTTGTGGAGGCAGGGTTTGCATCCAGGGTGGTCAGACTCCAGTGCCTACATGCTTAGCCAGCCCTGGGCTGCCTCCATGTACTGTGAGGAATGTCAGTGCCATGTCTACTGAGGGTCGAGGCAAGGTGTGGCACTCGTAGGACCTGAAGCCCCTAAGGAGCAAAGCAGCTAGTTAGCAAGGCCTTGTGGGAGCATGAGGACAGGTGCAGGCCCATCCAGCCTGGGAGCCAGAGCAGGCAGAGCTGGAGGGATCCAAGAGAGGACTGGAGAGAGCCTTCCCTAAATGGGAAGTCTGTTGGGGAGGAGGAACGGTTTCATCTGGGACTTGCAGGCCTGATAAAGTTTAGACCTGTGAGAGGCTAGAGGCACCACAGGAATAAACGTACAGGGCTGCAGAGTGTGGGACCTAGACAGGCAAGGTCGTCCTGGCCACAGTGTGGCTGAGTGGGGCAGATGGAGCAGAGAGGGCCCTGAGTGCCATGCTGAGGGGCAGGGACTCTTATGCAGGCAGGGGCCTGGCATTAGCACTCACTATCATAACATGAGGAGCTCTGGGTAGCATAGTGTCTAAGGCACTTGACTGCTAACAGAAGGCTGGCGGTTCAAACCCACCAGCCACTCCTCAGAAGGAAGATTGGGCAATCTACTTCCATAGTAATACTGCCCCAGAAACCCAAGGAGGGGTCACTATGAGTTGGGTCCGACTCGATGGCAAACAAGAACAACATCATCATACATGGGTAAGAGAGCCACCACTTCCTTGCAGAGAAAGGAATCTTGTCCTGGCCAAGAAAGCAGGAAGGGCATCTGCGCCCCTTCCCTGTTCTTTTAGGGATACTGCTTGTCCAGGCCCACTACCTGCATCATCCCAACGCCTAGCCCCATGAGAGAGCTCAGGACAGCCCTGCCCGGATTCTCTGAACAAAGCCTCCTTGGGTGGACTCACAAGTCTGGGGGACCCCAAAGGTCCCAGCCTTTGTCTTCATGATACATGCCAGGGGCCAGTGGTCACTTCACAAGTCCCATCTTGTTTTCCCTGGGTCTTAGATCTTTCATCTCACTGGTATCTGCTACTCAGCTGCCTTCTTGGCAAGAGGTCACCCCCCCCCAGGGTGCCCTGCAGTCCAGCATCACCGAGGACCCTTAGAGAAAGAGCAGAAGATGTTGAAATGGGAGAAGGCAGACAGAACCTGGGATCTGTGTCTTAGGAACCTTGGGCACCCAATAGGATATGGGTTTCTAGGGCATCGGAGCCTCTCGTGCTGCCATTAGGCCTTCGAGGGACACAGCCTCAGACCCCACACTCCCTTTGATGAGCTGCTTTAGATTTTACAGTTGATATTTAGTCGTCTGTGTGTATGTGTGTGCACATGTGCATGCATGCGTGTGTGTCTGTGTGTATGTGTGTTTCTGCAGGAGGGAAGGACGCTGAGCTGTATGGAGGGTGTGGCAGTGGACCTTGTCCTGGGCTGGTTCCTCTGGAAAGAGTGGGGCTCCTGATTTCCGTTAGGGTGGGGAGAAGAGGTGCTCCTCCTGCCCCAGCTTAGCTCTTAGGGTGGTCTTCATCAGTTTCTCAGGGAAATGAGGAACCCCTGCCCCCCGCAGGGCTGATGGCACAAGAAGGCAGCTTCTGTGTTGCCGTTTAGGCCTGGGCAACAGCCAGGCAGGACTGGGTAGCTGGCCAAAGCTTGGCACACTGCAACCCTTTGACCTCACGGAATTGAGGCCCCTGCTCTCTGCCAAAGCTGGGAGGTCACACCAGTTCCCCACCCTCTCCTCTAGCAATGAAAGGTTCTCAAGTACAGAGTCAGGGGGCAGGGGGCAGGAGATAGGGGGTGGGAAAAGCCCAACCATCTCTGCAGGATGGTTCAAGGAGGTAGTGACTGATTGTACTGCACCTCTGCTGAGGAAACTTTGAGAAGAAATAGGTTAGTCTGCAGCAGAATGATTGTTAGACTTTAGGAAGGACTTCTCAGTGGTCAGACAAGAGCCAATGGGACAGGCAATGGCAAGAAATCAAGGAATCCTTTTCGATGGTGGCAAAAGCCCTCCTTCTCCCATCTCCATCCGCCTCTTCTGCCCTCCTCTCTCAGGAGGGAGCTGCGGAAAACTTGCTATTCCTGAGGCGGGGGGGAAGATCCAGTGGCCAAGGGTGGGGGACCGGAGGGGGGCTGGGATGGCAAGCAGACCTCATATTTAACATTCTGCCTCCCCCACTTCTGAGACACCGAGCTATTTAAAGACCCACTTGTCCCCACAGCCATGGTGTCAATGACAGCCCCGAGCGCTGGGGCTTAGCGCTGGGGTCGAATTCCTGACAGATCTGGCTCACTTGGCATCCAACCAGTTTCACGGCTGTGATATTTTTGTCTCAATTTTCTTATTTTCCAACAGACTGAAACAGCCTCCTGCTCTCCCCCCACCCAGGCTTTCCTGCCCCCCTCGAGCCCCACCTCCCTTGGCACCCAGCCTCCAACCCCCCCCCCCTCAGTGTTTACACATAGCTCTTGGCGCCTCCTGGGCCAGCCCATGGCCTTCCTGGCTTGTCTGATTGGCCAGTAACCCTACCTGCCCCCCCATTCCACTGGAGCTTGGCTGAGGAGTCTGGGAGGAGCCACCCATTTGTCTTGAGGCTTTCCCTCCCTGTCCCTCTGTCCCCTTTGCTTGTGTCTTGATTATAAACTGAGTGAAGAGACATAGTACCTGTTCAGTTCCTACTGGTAGGATAGTGACTCAGGAACAGGGACAGAGACCTCCTATAGCTGAGGTGCCTGATTATGGAATCAAGAGACCCTGGGGCCTTGTGGTTTGCCCTTGAACATTGTGACCCTTAAGAAAGGGGAAGGTGGGGGTCAAGTGCAGGGAGGTGGGGAGTGGGCAGCATACTGGAGGAAGGAAACTTTGAGAAAAAATAGGTTAGTCTGCAGCAGAGGAGGAAGGAAGCTGACATTTATAGAACACCTGCTGTATACCAGGTGGCAGTAATGTCCATCGTTTATTGAGTGACTCCGGTGTACCAAGCATTTGCAGCCATCATCATCATCTTCATGACCCACCCATGCAGTGAATACTATTTGTCGATGAAGGCAGCTGAGGCTCCCAGATGTCCAGGGTTACATAGCCGCTAAACATGGCTGAGGCAGGATTTGAATCCAGGGTCTGGGAAAGGCTTCTGTCTCATTGTGGAGGTGCCAGCCCTTCTGCCCTTAACCTGGGCAGCCATGGGGAGACCACCCCGTCTCCAGATTTTGACTTCAAGAGTGAGAGGCAGACTTGGCCACTTTCACCTGAGGTATGTGGAGAGGTATAAGGGTTCTGGAGCTTGTCAGCCAGGGAGAGAGAAGTAACACCTCATGCTTTACCCTGTCCTAGACACTGTGCTTGTATTGTTCATGGACTATTTACCAACCCTATGAATATTCCCATTTTACAGATGAGGAAACTGAGGCATGGCAAGACTAGACTAAACAACTTGCCCAAGGACACACAGGAAATGGCAAAGCTGGAGTTTGAACCCTTGTAGTCTGGCTCTAGGAGTCCTGGTGATGCAATGATTAAGCACTCGACTGCTAACCAAAAGGTCAATAGTTCAAACCCACTAGCCACTCCTAGGGAAAAAGATGTGGCAGTCTGCTTCCATAAAGATTACAGCCTTGGAAACCCCATGGGGCCGTTCTACTCTGTTTGGTAGGGTCCCTGTGAGTCAATAGCATACAGCAACAACAGTCTGGCTCTAGAGCCTGTATTCTTTTCTCTTTTTTTAAATTGTGATTTGGATGAAAGTTTATAGAACAAATTCACTTTGCATATAGCAGCTCACATATACTTTGTCTGGAAGAGGAGCCCCCCAAAATGGAACACTCCCCAGAGGAGAGGGGACTTTTCAGGGATGCAGTATCCAGGCTTCCGGTGGATCTCTGTCAGCAGAAGGCATGCTGAGGAGGAGAGTAGACAGTAAACCATGCAGCCCCACCTCATCTAGTATCACTGAGCGCAGCCCTATGTACCTCCTCCCTCCCTCCTTGTCAAGTTCCAACTGCCACTTAGTTCAGTCCTCTTGTCACCTTTCCCTTCCTGCTATGGGTGACAAGGAGGTCTGACTGGCTGCCAGTCCCTGCTGCCTTCCCCTCTACCTCCCTCCCTCCCACACTGGCTCCAGGGTCACTCTCCCCACCAAGGAGGTACCTGTTCTTGGCCTGCAGGGAGTCCTGTGCCATGTGATCACCTGGGCCCTGTGTCATCCCTGAGCCTGCTCCTCTCCTGCACTGACCCTGATTATCATATATGGGGAGCCATATCTATGAAGTCATCAGGTTCAGTCCCATTTTATAGCTTCCAGGGGGAAGGAGCCTTGAGCCTGGTGCATGGGGCAGAATGGCTGGCCTGTGTGTACCTCAAGGGAAGAAGCAGCTTGACTTTGAATAAATAACCTGACACCAGGGTTGGGGAAGAACTGGGGGATCACCTAGCCAGCCCCTAATTTGTCCCAAGGGGCTGAGAAGGGCAGTGCCTTACAAGGAGCAAGCTTCAGTCTAGGTCCCAGGCACAAACAGGCCGCATCTGGCTACCATGAGCCTCTCAGGGCCTGGCATGAGAATGTCTGAGCAGAGCCCTCCCCTGCCTCCACTCCTTTGCTCTTCCCGTTCTCTCATTAGCTCCCCTGGGCCTGCAGTAGGAAGCTCAGCCTACTGTCTGACCTTCATCCTTCCTGCTGCAGTACCAGAGGAAGAGTGACTACCTATGCTGTTCCCCCTGCCCCTGCCTGGCCAGTTTCCTGGTGTCCTGGACCTAAGTGAGCAGCTCTGGGCTTTATCCATATCTCTGGCAGGCTCACCCCACCCTAACTCATCCCTCCCCACCTTCAGGGCACTCCAGGCCTGGCCCCAGCTGTGTCTTCCTTTGGTTCTCACTTGTCTCCCAGCCCATCCGCACCCCAGCCTGCCCTTCTTTTCAGCAGTTTGGGCCTCTGCTGTGGACACAGCAGTCCCAGAAACAAGTGCCAGCACCGACTCCCGGAAGATCTGGAGCTCACTGGCAAGACGATTTATATTCTCTTCCCATGGGATTAATTTCTAGGCAAAAGGCCTTAAACCTTCCCCAGGGCCCTTGCCCACCTGAGCCTTCCAGCCCTGCACCTCTGCTCCTCCTAGGGCTTGGGAGCAGCCACTGGTCCAGCGGGTTGGGCTGGCTCAGCCAGAGGGAGACTTGGCCCCAGTGGGATCTGCTTGATTTCAGAGGCTCCCTCACTTGCTAGCTTGCTCGCTTGGGACACACCCCAAGCTGGCTCGAACCCCTCTACCCCACCCACCTCATTCCCGCCCCTAGAGGCTGAGGTCACTGGCTCCCTTGGGCCCGGGTGGAGTTGTCATCACCTGCTGATGGAGGGGAGGAGGCAAGGCCCCCTGGGGGCTGTTGTCTTAGTGATTGAGTAACTGGGGAACTTGACTTTGCTGGAACTGGTTCCCAGGCCAGGCCGGAACCTGTGGAGGCTGCACCCCCGTGGCCCTGGATGGAGGTTCCAGTGTGGTGGAAAGCCAGACCTGAGGGAAATGGGATGAGTGGGGGAGGAGGGCTCCAGGGGTGTTGGAAGACACTTCTGCCTCACTGAATCTATCAAGCCATTCAGAGGCCTGGTAGAGACCCTTTTTCACAAGGGTGAGGCGGAGGTGAGCCCTCTGAGACAGCAACTCAACCAGCTGGCTCACCAGCCCCCTCCCTCCTCAGGTCTCCCTCAATGCTTGGTTCTGGTCCACTGTCTTTCACACCAGAGACACCGACCTCACAGAGGTGAGCACCCCTCTTGCTCCCCCACAGGTAGGGACTGTCCCAGAGGAGCTCCTAGAGGGGTGGGGCAGAGTGACCTCTTTTGTCTAACACTAGCTACAGCGTATCCATGAGGCGGAATCTACTGCAGGCAATGCCACCACCACCACCAAAGTGCCCAAAGCCGCTCTTGAATCTTGTGATGTGATTATTAGCTCTTTCTAACTGGTGAGGCAGCTGAGCCTTGAGAAGCTCAAAACTTGCTCGGGGGCCACCTGACTAGAGGAGGGGTGCCATCAGGACTTGAGCACCCACTGTTAGACTGCAGCAGGCGCTCAGTCCTGTGGTCTGCTCCATCTGTCGTTGAGTCTCAGGAAGCCCCCTCCTCCGGTATTCCCAAAAGCCCCTCTGCTAAGCATCTTTCTGAAAATGGTGTGATGTAAACACAGGGCCGGCCAGTCAGCTAAATTCAGGATTGAAACAGCCATGGACAGAGGAACAGGAAACACGGTCTCCACTCACAATAGGCCCTGAAGCCCCACATTAGAGTCTGCTGTGCCTCTGCCACCCATCTCTGTGTCCATCCTTGGTGGGTGGGTCCTCTCCGGGCCCTGCCCTGCAGGAGGTCTTGCCCACTTCCTGCTTTGCTCATAAACCAAAACCCACTGCCATCGAGTCGATTCTGACTCATAGCGACCCTCATTCAGTTTCTGAGGCAGTAAATCTTCGTGGAAGTAGGTTACCCAGTTTGCTTCCGGCGGAATGGCTGGTGAGTTTGAACCACCAACCTTCTGGTTAGCAGTCAGATGCCTTAGGTGCTACCAGAGCTCCTTTAGCATAGTATGAGCTTTGCTCCTCCTGGCCCCTCATCCTTCCCTCCCTGTCCTCAGAAAATGGACTACTTCTGTGCTTCCACCGTCATCCTCCACTCGATCTACTTGTGTTGTGTCAGGTGAGGCCGACTTGGCAGCTGCAGGGATGGGATCAGGCCCTGAGGGCAGAGAGGGGTTCCCCAGCTCTCCCATGGGGGTGTAGTCTTCAGTACCTTCTTCACTGGCCCCCCAATACATACATGCGCACACACACCCTGTGGGCTCTCCTAAAAGGGAGCTCTGAACTAGAACTTGGGACCCTGGCTCCTTACAAGGATCTACAGTACTCGGTTCTCTGCGGGGAGAGTACCTGCTTGCTCAACTGGCCTGTTTTGGTGGGAGAGGGGCAGTGGCAACCTACTGATGTTGGGGCTAGGAGCTGCTGCAGGGAATGCTGCTCTGGGGACGGGCCACCATCCTCTGAGCAGCTCTGGCCGGTGGGGCAGGACCGTGGGGCTGCAGTGCCCAGCTGTGGTCAGCGCCTTCCGGGCCCTTCTGCTGCTACTGCTGACAGCGCACGTCTCCTACCTGAGCCTCATCCGCTTTGACTATGGCTACAACCTGGTGGCCAACGTGGCTATTGGTGAGGAGAGACTGGGGCCCTGGGTATCTCACTGCTATCTGCTGGATCGGCTGCAGAACTGCTGGCTGGAGGTGGGGAGGGGATAGGTGTCACTGCTGGAGAATGAAGTCCTGGAGACCCTCTTGGGGTACAGGAAGGGAAAAGGACACCAGGTGTGAGGGAGGAGAGTCTGAACAAGGTCCCGGGGACGAGGGACCTGGGTAGGGAGGAGCCAGTCCAGGAAGTGAGCCTCCCCCTGCCCTGTACCACCCAGGCCTGGTGAACGTGGTATGGTGGCTGGCCTGGTGCCTGTGGAACCACCGGCGGCTGCCGCACGTACGCAAGTGTGTGGCGGTGGTCTTGCTGCTGCAGGGGCTGTCCCTGCTCGAGCTGCTGGACTTCCCACCTCTCTTCTGGGTCCTGGATGCACACGCCATCTGGCACATCAGCACCATCCCTGTCCACGTGCTCTTTTTCAGGTTGGTGTGACTCCCTGCCTGGCACGCACCTTCGGGCTCCCTTCCTTGCCTAATTCTTATGGGAGGCAGTGCAGCCCAGTCACCCCTCCAAGCATGCCTGTCCCCTTACTTGTCCCCGGGGAGAAGAGGTGTGCTTAGGGCTGTGCCTCAGTGCACTTCTCCCTTGGCCCCCAGCTTTCTTGAAGATGACAGCCTGTACCTGCTGAAGGAATCAGAAGCCAAGTTCAAGCTGGACTGAAGACCCTGGGAGTGGTCTACTGTCCCTGCAACTTTTTTTTTTTTAATTGTGATTTGGGTGAAAATTTATAGAGCAAATTCACTTCCCACACAGCAGTTCATATACACTTTGTCTCATGACATTTGACCACATTTACCGCAGTACATCAGCTCCCCTCCCACTTCCTTCTGACAGCCATCTCTTCCCTGTGTCCATCCCTCCATCCACTCCTGCCCCCTGAGCTATCTCCCTGTGCACAAACAGCCCTTCTTTCTCTCATGATTGTTCTCTCCAAGGAGTGTATCTACCCCAGGCAAATGTTCAACTCATATGCGTGCCCTCTGTTTGGCTGGAAGTCACAGGTATAGGTTCAACTCCAGACCTGAAGGGCAGCTAGGGCCCACAGTCTCAGTGGTTCCAACTAGTCCCTGCAACTCTTGAGATGATGTGTTTCTCCTTTTAGCTTCTTGAACTTGGACATGAAGGGTGTGGCCCAAGAATCCTGTACCCTGCCCACCCTTTGCTAGCCCCATGTGGCCTTGGAGCCTCTTCTGGGGCTGGCCTCTCAGCGTCTGGTGCTGAAGAATGGGCAGCCCCTCTGGTTCCTAGAATTGAACTTGAGCAGAGTGTCTGCTTTCCATACCAAGAAGAGAGCTGCCCCTGCCTCCTGTCCTCCATCTTCCCACATCCCTGTGCTGCCTGGGTGGTGTTCCCCAGAGCCCTAGGTCTGTCTGGGAGACCAGGTACCACTGGACTTTAGGGATGCAGCAGGGTCCTCTTCTGGTCCCTCCAGCACATCCCCAGGGCACCACTAGGTGGCAGTGGATGCTTGCACTCTGGCAGCTGGTGAGTTTGAGGGCTTCTCTCATTTCCCACTGAGGTCTTGAGGGACCCAACTGCTGGGATTGGGGGATCCCCCTGACTGTTGCCCCAGCTAGTCTCCCCCCAGAGGCCTCACCACACTTCCACTCAGGACCAGTGCCCCAGGGAGCTGGGGACAGGAATCCTTGCAGCCCTTCTGGACTGGGAACCTGAGTGAGTGGTAGGGGTGTGGCATGGGCCCAGGGTGTGTGGCATGCTGGGTGGGATAGACCATGCATGCAGTGTGGGGAGTGTATGGGTAGGGGGTGAGGGTTCTTGTTTTTAATTGAAGTGAAATTCATACAACAAAATTGATCATTTTAAAGTGAACAATTCAGTAGTATTTAGTACATTGACCATCTTGTGCCACTACCTCTGTCTAGTTCCAAAATATTTTTGTGAATCGTGAATGTGTGTGTGTGTGTGTGTGTGTGTGTGTGTGTGATGAAGTATGCCACACAGTGGGAGGAGGCTGGAGTAGAATGGGGGATCGAGTCACCACCCACAATTGTTTATTGAGTACCAACTCTGCACAAGGCTGCAAACCAGGCAGAGTGGGGCTGCCCCTATGGTCTTGCTAGGCGTGTCCAGGCTGTGTGCTTCTGTGCATGCATGTCTGTGTGTGTGCATGTCCCTGTCCTTTGCGCCTTGCCCTTTTGTCTGCAGGCCTCACAGAACCCCACATAACTGATTCCTTTCCAGAACCAGCCCCTCGGAGACAGGGAGGGAAGGAAAATGAGGATCCTTCTGGGTACCCTCCCACCTCCTTGTCTCCTTGCCTGGGCATGGTTCGCCTCCTCTCCCCCCAGTGCCCTGCTGGTCTCCTTGCCTGGGCATGGTTGGCCTTCTCTCCCCCCAGTGCCCTGCTGGCCAACTCTTTTGCCCTGCCCTGGACCTTGAGGAGGCATAGGGGTATAGTCCAAAGGAGGAGGGGAGAAAGCTTGTGGCTGAGTCTCGGTTTCTGTCCTCCCCGGGCGGGGGGTGTCTCTTCTAGAGTAATCCCCAGACAGGCAGGGGCCACGTTGTATCTCCACCCTGGTAAATGTGACCCCTGCCAGGTGCCAGCAACCCTGGCACACGCTTGCTGCACAAGGATAGAATGGCAATGTGTGGAGCTGCAGAAACTTTTCCATCCCAAAGGCAGTGTCTGATTGGAGCAGGGAGACTGGATCCTTGCTTTTTCCCTGCTCCCTTGTGCCTTTTTAGGGGGAGGGGAGCTATGCTAGGACTCCAACCTCAGCGACTTGGGTGGCTTCTATTGTGTTCTTTTGATACCGAGAGCCGTTTTAAGACAAGAGGGCTCAAAAGGGGCATTCTTAATAAACCAGTTACGAACATCACCTATCCTTGTTCAGCTCATTTGTGTGGACAGGGTAGGCAGGAGGGAAAAAGGAGACAGAGACAAGGGTCTCTGTGTAGGCACTTGGAGGTGGGAATGGCAGGGACCAGGCTGCAGGGCTGGGCCAGAGTTCAAGTCTAGGTTATGGAGGCAGGGGAAGCCAGGTGCCAATTCTTTCCCTCCTGCTTCCCTGGGCCCTTGTTTGTGCCTCAGCTGTTTCATCTCTCTCCTCCCCAATACAGATTTCACTTCAGTCTCCTAATTATCCCCACTGTACCCTCCACTTGAAAGCAGGAGTCATCATGGAAAGATCATTTAAGACTTCTGGTCTGGACCAGGCTCCACTACTGTTCCTTACTTGGGTAATGCAGTGGCCTACCCTCATGGAAACTTCTGGAAGAAAGTCTAGGGTTATTGTGCCTCCTGCATCCCCCAAAAGGTCTCTGGGGCCATGTTGGTCCCCAGAAGAGCCACAGGCAGCACCAACACTCAGCAGCACAGGGCGTTTTCTTTATTAGGTACCACCTTAGATACAAGGAATCTGGGTGGGTGCGGCTACCGTGGCACTGAGGGCATTGGGCCTCTCACACTCCCACCTTCTGGGCCCAAGCAAAGAAGATGCCTTTGACATCATCCACATCGGTCTGCAGGTAGGAAGGCATGACGTAGGCGCACAGGTCCCGGACCTCGTAGCCACTGCGCAGGAGGGCTTCTCTCACCTGTTCCTCACGCACGGGGACCACTGCCAGCCTGGCCTCCCCAGCCAGGTACCATGACTCCTCCAGGGCCCCGATGAGGAGGAGGTGCCCCCCAGGCCTCAGCAGCGAAGTGATGTGGTCCAGGGCCCGCTGGAAGCTGGCGAGGTCCGGGCTCACAGCCTCCAGGCAGAAGGTAGAAATCAGGGCATCAGCAGGCAAGGGCACCAAGCTCCCGGCACCCAGGGGCTGGGACTGGTGCACGTCGATGGGCAGGACCCGCTTCACCCTGGCTCGAAGTTGGTGCTCCTTCTCCTGCCAGGACTCACTGTGCAGGGGCACAAGGGCAGGGTCAGGACCAGGGACTGCTCCACGCTCAGTCTCCTTGCTCCTTCCAGCAAGGAGCCCCCCTGACTTCCCTGTTCCTTACCCTTTGCCTTCGATGAGGCAGACATGCTGGCTATAGGCACTCCAGTTGAAGGCCCCCGGCTCCTCCCGCAACCAGCGCCCCAGCTCCTGGCGGTTCACCTCCAGGAAATCCGTCATGGTGATGTCCTCAAAGTGTGCGCAGGCACTGAGCAGCTGGTAGATAGTGGGGCCCGAGCCGATGTCAATGAGGGAACGTCCAGATACCTCACCTGGATGTGGTGAGGAAGAGTGAGGAAGAGAGTCCTGGTGCCAGGCCTGCCGTAGTCAGACCCTCCCTTACCTGCCTCTGCCTCCCTCTTGAGCACTTCCTTGTCTGTCTGGAAAGAATACAGTCTGGGCTCAGTCCTGGCTCTAACATCAACTGACTTACCTTGGGAAGTGGCAACCTCTCTGAGCTTCAGGTGCCACATCTATAAAGCAATAGGAAACCCCTGCGGTGCCTCAGTTTCTCCCAGGTGCCTCTCTCTCTCTCTCTCTGTCTGTCTCTCCCCTGCATTGGCCCCTCCTCCCCCATTAGCCACTGCTCCTCTTTTCTACTTGCACCTCTTAAGTACCTATTTCTTGGTCCCTTTCTGGCTCTCTGGCTGTCTCTTCCCCACTCTTCCCCCTTTCACTCTCCGAGGGCTCCTGTCCCCCGTGCCTCAGCTTCCCCGCGCTCACCGGTGGCGAACGTCTGCGCCAGGCAGCGCAGCTTCCAAGGCCCGACGCCGTCGGGGATGCTCAGGTCCCCACGAGGCGGCGCGTAGTTGTTGCGGAGGTAAGCGCGGGGCTCGAAGAGCCGGTAGGCCGAGGCCACCGCCGCCCGGCCCGGGTCCGAGTCGCGGGCTGCGCCCGCAGCGTGCCTCGGCTCTGGGTCGCTCATGCTGCTCCCTCGCGGGCCCGGTCCCCACCCGCCTCGCGGCCCCTATATCGACGGCCGAGCCCCCGCCCCGACCCCTGCGCTGCGGGGGCGGCGGCTGAGCGATGGGCCGCCCGGGGGCCCGCGCTCTCCGTCTCCCCGGAGCCCATCCATCTCTCTTAGTGTCCGAGCAGCAGACACAAGGGGCCGGGGTGGGGGCGGCCGCGGAACCTCGGGTCCCGCCCGGTCCCCGCTCGGATCTGCTCCCCCCCCCCCCCCCCCAGCCCCTACCCTCCTGAGGCTTAGAGCCCCCGGGCCCCGCCAGTCCCGGCCACTCACCCCTTTGGCTCCAAATCCCATCCTTGCTCTTGCCATGTTTCTAACCGGCCCCTCTCCCCCTCCCCATCTACCAGACCCGGGTCCCCTTCCTCCAGGCACCCTTTTCGACACCCACCCCACTTCCTTAGCAACGCCACCCCAACTCCACCCCACCCCCCGCCCCGTTCCAGATCGCACTTTCGTCCTTTCCTACTGGACCCCGGTTCTGCAGCTCCGCGCCTCTTCCCCCAGTCCGGAAAGGACAGTCCGTTCTTGCCCCAGAGCGGGTCTCCTGCCCCGCCCCCGGACGATGGGCTCAGCGATAGAGGATGCCCGGGAGCCACAAATGCACTTAGCGGGCTGAACAGCCCGGCCTCTCTCGAGGGCCCAGCGAGGGCCCCGCGGGCTCCCGGCCCCTTATCTGGGGAATGCGGGGGCGGGGGGCGGGTGTCCGGAAGGTTCGGGATGTTCCTGTCATGTTGTGGGCATGGGATCCCCGTGAGCGTGGGGAGGCGCAAGGGCGCAAGCTCTGGGCCGCTGCTGCGACAACGGGGTACAATCCGGGCCTTGGAGCGCCCACGGATTTGGGGCCCTGATGGTCTGGGGCTTCTGCCCCCACCCCCTCTCGTCACCCAGCCCACACTCTAGCACCGTTTCTGGAAGAGGTCCAGGCCTGCAGGTCCTGCTTGGCCTTCAGGTACTGTGGCTGCCAAGATGCCAGAGTTTTCCTTCCTGTGTTGTCCAAAGCCAGACAGATTCTCCAGGGTCTTCCTGGAGTGGGTGCCCTCTGAATCAGGCGGCCCTCTGCATTGGTAGGCTATTGCCTCTGCCAAGATGAGGACCAGCGACCCTGCTTTGGGGCCTCTGAGGCCCTCCCTTCTCCTTGGCCCAAAGAGAGTATCTCCTTGTTGGGCCCTGCGGCCAGGTTGGAACATGAGTCACCATGACAGCTGCAGGGGTCATTGACAGGAACATGACCCCCTAGACAACCCACCCTGGGCTCTCAGGGCAGAGAGGGCGGGTCTCCTGAGCGCAAACAAGGATTTGTTGAGATTCAGAATTGACAGGCAGGTCAGCCTTGAGGTCACTGACCCTGTCTACACCTAATGGCAGTCCTGGTGCCAGCCCCCTCCATATTCTCCATCAGACATCACTTAGACCAGCCCTGGGTGCCAGCTGGCTTGCTGGGCACTGCTCAGTGCCAGAGGGCTGGACATGGAAGCCAGGACTGGACAGCAGAGTCAGAGCACAGGAAGGGCACTGGACAGGCAGCAGCCCTGTTTACAGCTCTGTGCCTGGCCACCCCCCGCCCCCCAGGCATGAGGTGTTCCCACTGGCTCTGCCATATTTAGCTCAGATATAGAGCCTGTTCCCTTCCCAGAAGTGGGCAAGGGGGATAGTGAGGGGTGGGCCCCCACAAGCACAAAGAGACAACACTGTGGAACATGACTGAGCGTTTATTGCAGCACTAACAGAGGGTGCTGGGGGCTCCACCCTGCCTCTTCCCTCTTCCCGTCCCCCTCCCTCAGGTCTTCTCCAAGCCTCCTTTCCCAGAAGATTCCAGATGCCTCTCATACACTTACATACCCTTCTCTGAAGGTGAAACCTGAGCCAGGGTCACTCTTCCCAGGAACCTTTGCCCTCACCAGCATCTTTTGTTCCTTCTCCAGGGGCTGGGGGCACTCGGCAGTGCTAGCCCCCAGCTCTCCACCCTTAGTGCCCATTGTCTCTGCTCCCCTCCCTTTGGGAGCTCAGGGGATCCAGGCTTCCTGGTCTCCAGCTCCCTCCTTCCCCAGCCCCCAACCTTGGGCAAACTACAAAGCATCCACGGCCAGCAGCTCCCCTCCATGGTCCTAGCCAGGAAGGGCCCAGCCTGGGGTGGGCACAGTGGAGCCTGAGTCATGCCCCTGCTCAGCCTCTCTGTGCTTCCTGGGACATGGAACGGGACAGGGATCGGCGGAGAGCGCCAGGCTTGCTGACAGGCACCACAGGGGGCAGCTGCTTGGTGATCTCGGCCACGTCCTGGGGGTCCACACACTGGCCACCGAGGGCCGTCTCCAGTGCCAGCAGCTCCCGCAGCTGGAGGGGGGTGTCCTCGCGCTCCTCCTTGGCGGCGCCCACCTTGGTGGGGGTGAAGATGGGCAATGGCAGCACCCGCTGGTAGGGTAGCTGGTACTCCTGCAGCTCACGGCCAAGGATGCCCATCCACATCACCAGCCAGGGGGAACGCTGCACCAGTGCCTGGCACTGGCCCTGCCGGTGATAGGTCTCACGCCGCTGTGCATCCTCCTCGTGCAGAGAGCAACTGGGCAAGGAGAGGGGAGGGGCGGTGAGCTCCTGAGAGCAGTGTCCTCCACTCACAGGCTAGTTGGAGGGGCTGCCAGGACCCAGGGGCAAGAAGGGGATACTATTTTGCTCTCCCCAGTGGCCTCTATCCCTGCCTTCACCCTCCTAAACAACTCCTGCAATCTATGCCCTAGCCCCTTAAGGCTCAGGGAGGGTGCTCTGGGAGAGGAGTCGGCACTCACCCCTCCTCAGGCCGCATGGACAGCGTCAGATCCTTCCATTCTGCCCAGAAGGCCTCTCGGCGCTCGCAGTTCTCCTCAGACACCTGGCAGTTCAGCTCTGTGGCGGCCATGGTCACGGTTCATTCCCCTGGCTCTCCTCCTCCCAGACCCTTTAAATAGCCCCCTCCTTCCCCTCCTCCAGGGGCTATTTTCAGCCCCTCTGGCGTCAGATGCTATAAGCAGAGCCAAGACTCACTGATGGGGGGACTCTGGGCCCAGGGTGGGAGTTGGGGTACCTGGACTTCTGCTGCCCTCAAGTCAGAGGTCAGCTTCTGAAGTCATCAAGCTGCCCCTATAGGGGCAGGGGTCCTCAGAACACCTCCAGATGTCCGACACTTCTTAGACACCACCTCAGGCCAGGCACATGCCCAGCCCCGTGCCACTCTGGCACCTGCCCTCTGCTCCACCCTTTCCCCCTGGCCAGGGCAAAGTGGCTTGTCTATAAACAGAGCAGGAAACAGCAGGACCAATGGCCCCTCTGGGCTCTGCACGAGGCTGGCAGCTCCTGCCCCTACCACTGTCCCCCGTCTAGCCTCCAAGGGCACATCCCACAACCATGCCCCTTGACAGTGAAGGACAGTGCTATTTTGTCCTCAGCTGTCTGCATCAAGACCCACCCCCACTCCCCCCCAGCAGAACTGGAAGTTAATGCCACACCTGGGACCCTGGAGCACCAAGGTGCTTTCCTTCCCTATGGCCAGTTAGGGTGGAGGGGGCAGGTTTGGGAGGCAATCCCAAGCTCTACTCCCAATACCCCAAGTTAGGTGAAATGGGGTGAGATGGGAATCTAGGGAGTCCAGTAAGCGGGAGTCAGGAGACCTGGCTCTCGTCCTAAATTGGCCATAAACAGGCTGTGTGACTATGGGTTCATCCTCACACTTTCTGAACCTCACTTTCTCATCACAGTATGCTGACCAGAAGAGCCTGGGGCCTGCTAGCTCCAAGGTCCTAGCATGGGAGTGGGCTGGCTCTCACTCCTGAGGAGGAGGGAGTAGCCCCATGCAAAAGAGCAGCAGCTGAGGGTGTAAGCAGCTGGTATGCAGGGCACTGGGCAGGGGGAAAGAGGAGGAATGAGAGCACAGCTGAGGGGATAAAGTGAAGGGCACCAGAAGAGGCAGGGACCGGAGCAGAGATGCCCAGCAGCGGGCAGACCTTGGGACAGCAGGAGTACACAGTGGGGTAAGGCCTGTGGGCACCCACCTGGTTACAGGATCGCACACTCCTGATTACTGAGCCCTAGCCTGATTCTTGATCTCTTTTAACCTCGTAAGTCTATGGCATAATGAGTCCCATTTACAAAGTAGGAAATGAGGCTTAGGGCCCAGCAATACATACCTAGCAAAGACAGGATCCACCTGACCCCTTGACTCTAAGCAAGCTGGTGCTTTTGGAAGCCTACAGGTAGGTGGGGGTGGGAGGGTGGGGGACATGTCCTGGTGGACCAGGAAAGGCCCTGGCACATGACCCTAGGTTGTACACTGCCCTGCTGAGGGTGCACTGAGGGCAGAGGAAGTACTTGAGAGGCCGAGGGTTCCCAGTGGCTGGGAGCCTAGAGGTGGCTCAGTGACCCTGACACCCAGGCCATCCGTGGCCTCAGGGAATGGTCAGGGCCTGCAGCTGGCATGGCATTGCCCACTCCACCTTGTGAGTGGGTACCTCAACTTTCCCTCCCCTCACAGGAAGGGGGGCATTGTTCTCTGACCAGACAAGCCCGGAGTTGAAGCAGTCAGGAAAGTATTCCAGGAACAGGCTCTCCACTGGCTCCGCCCACCACGCGCGTGTGTGCGTGGATATAGTGTACTGGTCCTGCCATGCTTACTCCCCCACCACGGCACTGCCCCAGACTCCATCCTTCCCACCAAGTTTCAAGATGTGAGGCTGGAGAGAGGGGCTGCTATTTTTTGAGTTCAGATTTTTAATTGGCTCAAATTACAAAGATCCCCAAGGAAGCACTGGAGGAGGGGGAGAATCTGGGAGAGGCAGAGATTCGCTGCCAGCATCCCCATCCCCACAAGCCAAGCCACTCCTGCACACAGCTCCCCAACAAGCACGTGTGGGGAAGGGTCCCAGACCCTTTAACTAATCCTAAAAACCGCGATGACACAGGAGCTCAGGCTGCCCTGGCCATGGCCCTGTCCAGGGCCCTGCCCGCCTCCCCCCACCTCCCAAAGCCTGAGGCTCCCAGCTCAGACCCTGCCCCTGGCAAGGTAGGACACAGTGGATCTACTCCCTAAGGAGGCAGGACGCCAGGTAAACATAAGCAGGACAGACCCCACATCCCTCAGCCAACAGAGTCCAAACATCAGGCCCAGCCCAGTTCACGGCAGGGGCTCCCAGGCACAGCGTGGCTTGGGTGAAGGGTAGCTTGGGGCCAAGGCGCTGCCATGGGAGGGGCTTTCCTCCTCCCATTGCGTGAGGCCAGGGCCTCTGAGGGCATCAGGAAGCCTGACTGGCCCCCTTTCTGGCTCTGGCAGGACCCTGGCCTGCAGGGTAGGTAAAGAGGACATGGCTATGCCTGGGCCCCCAGCTCGCCGATGCGCTGCCGCAGGTGAAAGGCAAATTCAAACATGGTGGCTGCAAGGCTCTGGTGGATGAGGTACCGGGGCAGATGGCCCTGGGGGAAGGCGAGAAGTTAGTTATAAGATGGCTAGCCCTCAGCAGGGTCTCCCCCTCAACCACAGGCACCCCAGGGGGGGTGATGGGCAAGGCTGCAAGTGCAGCTCTGGTATCCAGCCTGGGCCGCCCCACCCCTGGCAGGAAGAACGTGTTGTACCCGAGTCCTGGCCTCACAAATAGTCCAGGCAGTGCTGGGTTTGCAGCCAGCTGCCCTGCGTGCACCTCGGGAGTCTCGGGTGAAAACAGGAGGTACAGACTCTCTAGCAATATCAGGGCTGAAGACCATGAGGACTTAACGCCAAATTTCAGGATAAGAAAGGAGACTGAGAGCAGAGAGGCCCTGAATGGGCCAAGAGCCCCAAGGTCATACAGTAACCAAGTTGGTAGGAGAGTCCCCTCCACCCCACAGAGCCTACCTATAGCACCCCTGCTCTGTCCTTCCTACCTTGAGATCCGTATTGAGGATCCAGATGAAGGTGCAGACTCGGGGATTACTGGCTGACTTGAGCACAATGAAGCCCCCAGGACCATTCTCTCCCCTGAGGACAAGGGAATTACTGAGGGGGGACCCTGGAGCCGAGCAAGGTCCCTGGGGCCCACTCCCACCCCCATCCTGGCCCAGCTTGGAAGTGGCAAGGGAACTGCAGGGTCACGAACTCAAAGGAGTTGAGTGTATCCTGGAGGCCACAGGATACACCCCTGCAGTCCTACCCCACACCGTGTGAGGCTCAAATCCTCCTCAACAGCCTGCCAACACTTGCACATCCCAGCGGCAGGGAGCTCACCACCTTCTCTGTCTTCATCCACCCTGTCTAGGGACTCTAGATCAGCTCTGTGAGGGTGTGGTATGGATTGGCATGCCTCACCCCTGCCTAGTTCAGGGAGTGGTGCAATACTGGTGGGCTCCAGGAGGGGGAGCCTTCTCAGCAGGCAGCCAGGGCCCAGCCCAGAGTCAGGGCAGTATGCTTCGAATTCTAAGAATTCCAAGGTGACTACACTCTCCCCACAGGACTGAGCACTCTTCAGCCTACTCTATAGATAAGGAAGTTGACATCCAGAGAGGAAATGAGCTTGCTCCCTGTCACCCAGCAAGTCTGCGGTGGTACCAAGACCAGAACTCCAGTTTCAGATTCAAAGAGCAGTGCTCTCTACCGGAACCCAAGGAAGGGGGTGAGATATAGACAGCATGACAGCCTAAGATTAGACAGCAGAGAGAACTAGAAGGAGGCTCAGGAACAGGCAGCAGGAAGACTAACTCCTCTTCTTTGGGGGGACTTTGGAGGCACTCCAAGAGAAGGTCAAGGCAGCGGGGACAGGGTGAGGAGGATGAGAGGGTCTCCTTACACAGGGAGATGGAAGCCCTAGAACGCAGCCCAGTGCAACCTCAGGGCTTCCAGTCCTTGTCCCTTCCCATGGTCTACTTTGACCCACTGCCCTCTGCCCACTTCCCCTCCAGCCTTTGAGGCTTGGCTCCAGTCCTTCCCCTGCAGTCTCCCCACCAGACAGAGCAGCAAGATTAGCACGATTAGAAGGCGGGGGGTGGGGGGAGCAAAGCCCAACAGATAAGGAACAGGAACAAGGACGAGAAGGCTATACACACTGTACCCTGCACTGTTCTTACTGTTCCTGGGAGAGGGGTGGGTTGGGATGACTCCGGGCAAGGTCAGGCTCACCTCACATATTTGTGGGTCGGGGGCTTGGCACAGTGGGTGGTGGCAATGCCGGATGACAGGTATCGGTCTCTGCGCCGCTCAATGCGTCGGGTGTTCACAAAGTCCCTATGGGAGGAAGAGTTAGATGAGAGCGCCAAACCTAAGTCCCAGGGGTTTGAGCCAGGAGAGGCTCGACTGACGGGGGCCTTGGTGGGCACTCACCTGGGGGAGACGACACCACCTGCAGCCCCTGCAGACACATCGTAGGAGATGAGGGTGTTATCTTCCACTCGCTGCAGGATCTGAGGGCCGTGAAGGGAGATGTGAGGCACAGCCCACTCCAGAAGACCCCAGGGTCCCAGCACATCAGGGCATCCCCAGACCAGCCTCCTTCCTGACCAGGTCCCTCTACTGAGAGCCAACTGCCCCCATCCTGGTGCTCTATGGCACTTCCTTCTTCTATTCTCCCAACCTTCCCCAGGAAGCACTTTTATCAACACCCCTATTTTATACGTGGGAAGCTGAGGCTCAGAGTGGTTCGGTGACGTGACTCAGGTCCTCTGAGGGTAAGTGGTTGTGGTGGGGCACGGCTGGAACTTGATATTTAACGTCACCTATCACTGTGCCCCTGCCCTGAGCAGTGGCCAGGGCTTACCTGGCAGGCAGTCACTGTCTTGTTCCATAGCACCATCCTCTCAGGCTGCAGGATCACCTCCTGGTACACCAGCTCCGCAGGGCAGGGCAGGAAGGTCTAGGGCAGAGTGGGCAGAGGGCTGGGTGGGGCCAGATGTCCCAGGTGGACA